AGGGGGCTCATTACCAGGCCAGAAATAATCAAGGTTAATCCACGGAGTATCCGAGAAAGATCTAGGTATCTACAAAGTAGGTGTAGGCTCGTGAATACACTGCCGGTACTCGTAATCGGCACAGTGTATAAAATTGCCGATCGCGGTATTTCCCGGCTCCCTCTTGTAGGGATCCTTTATCTCCGCTGTTGCGGAACTCGGATAAAAGCACTAGCAAAATGGGGCATCGGAAGGGCGGAGATGAAAGAATCTCTGAGAGATTTCCCTTTGAACTTATACTTTGGATATGTTGCTACCGGCACCTACTCATCAATATGTACTTGAGTAGCCGTAGGTGCTTCGGAGCAGCTACCGAACTTGAGACCGAGACAGCATGAATTATACTACAACTTGTATAGAGTAGGGGAGGAAAGCGTATCCATCCTTTGTTACACAAAGATTACCGGAATCTTATTAATAATCTGGGAAAGTTTCGTCTACGCCATTCTTGGCCGTGAAGCTCCATCGGGAGTCGGGCTCGAAAACCTCCGGTGAGCAGGGAGGGCACTTGTAGCGTACGGAGCTTTCTCATTGGTCGGAAAGTATTGTCAGCCAGCACCGCGTGCGGGGGATGGGATGGATGACTAAGGCTCTCCCTTACCCATACCGGTATGATTTCCCACCTAGGCTCCTAGGCACATTTTTTCAACATTTTAAGGTTTCTGCTGAAAATGGTGCAACCCATGCAAATGGTTTTCATATCAACAAAAAGGACCGTTTTTCTCTCCGAAATGATTGTTTGAACAAAGAATCCCTTTGACTCACTCAGCCCTATCCAATCCCTATTCCGATTCCAATTCCATACATAATCACACATCATACATAATCATAATGTCATGCTTGTCGTAGAACTACCAGTCTGTTGTGTTTTCGGTGGGTAATCATTCAGTCGGTCAAGCAAGCAAGCAAGCAATCGATCAATCGATCTATCAATCAATCAATCAATCAATCAATCAATCAATCAATCAATCAATCAATCAACCAATCATTCATTCATTCAGACAGTCGATACGTCAAATTCTATGATATAGGCATCAACTGTGCCACTCTTCTATATTTTAACATCATGAATCCGATCAGCCCTGTGGTTTCTACCGCCAGCAGCACAAACGCCCAGCCTTCAACAGCAACAGCAACAGCAGCAGCACCACCACCACCACCACCACCACAAAAAGTTCTTAGTTGCACAAATTGTAGGAGACGCAAGATCAGATGCAATAAAACAACAAACCCGTGTATCCCATGTCAGGTGAGTGAAATGTGTCTTCCAAACTTCAATCCCTCAACTTTTGGGGGTTTGTCTATGAACACCCAATGAATAACACATAATCAGGCATCGGGCACTGAATGTATTTTCCCGACACGTGTTCGAAACCCTAGACCGAGACAAAATAATCCAAAGTCTCGTGATGCTGAGCTATTGAAAAGAATCTCGCACCTCGAAAGTTTGGTGAGCAGAATTGATGCCACAAAACTCCTGGGGGAGGATAGTCATGTAGAAGACGAGGCTCGGTCGAATACACCATCATCAGGACCGCGACCTCATCGTTCTTTCACCTCTCCAAGTCACCAGTACAATGACAATATTCATGAAATTGGATTTGTACCAGGACGTCTGGATCATCAATTTGCTAATTTTATCAAACGCCAAGAGACCGAGTCAATCTATACTCAGGACGGATTTTGGACAAGATTAAGTGAAGAAATTGATGGACTGAAACAGCTCATCGAGAACCCCAGTGACGACGAAGATGAGAATTCTGGATCAACGGCGACTTCGCCAGCATCCAAATATGATTCCCCTTCACAATTTGTCTTTGATTCCAGGGTCACTTCCTCGAATATCATAATTCCATATCCATCCGTTGACCATCGCGATATTTTATTCGACTTTTATTTCAAAAATGTGCACCCAATGGTCGTCACGGCGCACAAGACAACAGCAACCATTATGATAAACCCAACTTCCGAGTTATTCGACCACAGTACTGGCCGACACAAATTCAAAAGTCTTGAGGCCAGCGCATTTTCTATGTACCTGGCTGCTGTGACGAGCATGACAAATGAAGAGTGCCTTGAATTTTTAGATGAAGAAAGGTCGATTTTAGTGACACGATACAAAACTGCGACGGAAATTGCTCTCCAAGAATCAGATTTTCTTAATAGTGTAGAAATTGTTACCTTACAAGCTTTAATCACGTATATTGTAAGTCTTCTTCTCCCAGCGTCCTGGACGATGGTTTATGATGATGATGATGATGATGATGTTTATATACTTTCACAGGCAGCTATGCGCTCTCATGATCGAAGTCGATCTATATGGGCATTTATCGGTCTTGCAGTCCGCCTTGCCCGTGGCATCGGGCTCCACAGAGATGGCGGTAACCAAGCTTTCGATGTGGAAATGCGAAGGAGAGTGTGGTGGACATTGATCGTACTTGATACGAGAGCTTCCGAAGATCGAGGTACAGAAACAACGATAACTGATGGCTCTTTTGATACAAAGATGCCTGCCAACATCAACGATGAAGATATCTCAATTAACTCAACAACTCCAGCAATCGGTCGGATAGGATTCACCAGTATGACCTTTGCTTGCATTACAATGACCGTCAGCGGGATCGGATTGAGGATGAATTACGTACCCACGCGCCTAGACGCGCCGGTCTTGACCACAGAACAAAAAGAGCAGATGATCAAAGCATTTACTGATAAAGTCGAATCAACCTACCTCGCAGGTGCTGATCCCAATGATCCGAAATTCTTCTGGTATTGTCGGGTATCACGACTATTATCGCTCAAATTATGGTTGGTGACACAATATCCACTTCAGCGAAGGAAATCTACGCATCGTGTACTTCCTCGAGGACAATCTTTGCATACGGCTATGGCGTACTTGAATTTGATGGAAGAAATGTGGCAACATGAACCATCAAAAGGATGGCTCTGGTTCTTTGAAAGTTATGTGCCGTGGCATGCGATCGCCGTCGCTTTAGCTGAGCTTTGTGCGGAGCCAACTGGCACTCTTGCTGATCAAGCTTGGGAGGTTATTGAATACCATTACAATAGATGGAGTGAATACGTCGCAGATACAAAAGATGGAATGATTTGGCGACCGGTCAAGAATTTACTGAAAAGAGCAAAAGCAGCAAGAAGGCGAGAAAGAGGTCTCAGTGATTCTCAAGCATCAACAACTCCAACGGCAATCTCCAACCCTAATATGTACAGCCCAGCTCCCAACTTAGGTGCTGAATTCTCTCCAATCATGTCAGAGAATAACAACTACCGCCAACCTTCTACAATTGGGCAGGTTGACCCAATGGGGCAGAATACCTATGGGGGGATGGGCTTCGATCTTCCCATGCCCATGGGTTCTACTCCCATAGACACGAATATTCCATCACCACTACCTATCCCGGATGGTTATACAAATGCACACTGGAACGAATTTCTATTTGGTTTAGGCACAGTTGGTGGCGACGGGCCTCAAAATTCAGAGATGTGGGGTTCATATTATGATCATTTCCCTGGCTCTTAACATTCTGAGAAGCCTCAAAAAATTTCAATCGATACGCTATGCCCTGCCCTTACTATTTTATTTTTGGTCAATGGCACTAGAAATGGGGAGCATGTAAGAACACAAAGACGTTGTAATATCAAATTATTCCCCTCAGCCACTGTATATATTATATCTGTCAAGGGTTGACGCCAAATATCCGGCTAACAAGGACTTCGGAGTTCTTGCTCGCATTTTCAAGCACGCCCTCACACCTATGGAAGTTGCAAATGCCGACAATGGTCTTTCCATGGCCCACAAAACACATTATCGCTTTTCGGGATACCGGCAAATATGACCATTCGTAAACCGCATTCAAATAGCTTCTTACAATAATCCCTGCATCAAAATTCTAGATGTCACCAAATGCGGAGTACTTAGCTACCCGAATGAAACAAATGGTGAAGCGAATTATGATTCATGCTTCAACCGTGCCAGGGCACGCACTTCTTCGTAAATCGAAACGATTTATTGTTAGACACCTACCAATAAAGAGTCTATCAATTCTCGTATTGAACTTTAAGCTTTATTCGTTATGGCCTCATTATTGTGAAAACTTCCTGGGGACGTTGCAAAACAATAAGTGAAAGAAAAGGCTACAGAGTCTATCCACGTGGAGGAAACAATTACATGTTATCGGAACTTTAATCAATGTTGACATGTTTGACGGAATTGATGCCTATATGAAGAAGATTTTCATCTTGTGTGAGATTGTGAAGGCAATCGATTGCATACATATTCATGACTGGAGTGTGTTGGGATAAACTCAATAGCTGAAATATCTTGCAAGAACAGTCGGAATAGAAGTCTGTTCCCGTCAACTTATACTCTTGTGAAAACACAGTAAGAATTAGCCAGTGTTCTACAAGCAAATCTCATCTATATGTTTTGGGCGATACTGGAAACTACTGCCCCTTATTCGATGTCTAGTAGAAACCAACTCGATGCAAAGTCAGGCCAATGAGATGATATAGTTCATTCAAATTGTTAGTCAACCTGTCATACTTTTCGTTAGATGTTATATAGTTCCCTTAGCCCCTTGGTCCTTGAACAATCTTCGTTTCAGCCCCCATCCAAGCGCTAGTCATAGCGGATTTAGTCAAGACAAATTTATTACAACGATTGCTTTGCACATCACCAAAGCCCACTAATCGGTTTCCAATTAGAGTTTAGTAACTCGTTTCTAGCTGCCGAAGATCAGAGTGATGCCACTTTTGACGTGCATATACAAAATATTTAGTGACTTCACTTGCCACTAACACACAGACCTTTCCACCTGGGTATCACTCTAATACCCAGGTTGGCGTCCTCACTTTCTCACCCTTTCTGTAAGATCATTTTTTCCTTCTGATTTTATTTTCTTGGAAAGTTATGGTGCCTTGATCTCTATTGCAATTATTTAATCATGGGAAATGTTGATCATATGCCACAGCAACGCGTCTGGACGCGGAATCTTTTTGTAATCTTCGCTTCTTTATTACTATTTTTTAATACTTTATCTCTACTACCATGGGGAATATATCATGCGCGGTCATTTCTTTATACCGATGATCATTCTACCTCGCAATTTTCTTCCAGTATTGCTTCTCTCGAAACTGTAGATATCGGTCAATTGCAAGGAGGGGAGAATATTGCATCAGTACTTAAGGCGGCCGCGGATATCCTGAGTGCAGTAAGCGCACAGCATCATCTTACTTCTTTACAAGCTCTTAGCAACGATTTGCATCAGTTAGCTGTGGATACACATGAAGCACAGAGCGGGAATAGTTTGAAAACTCGAGGACTTTTCGATGGTTTCGCTTCGATATTAACAGGCGGTGCGGCAGGAGGAGCTGGCGGGGCAGCGGGGGCTGGTGGAGCAAAAGCGGCCAGTGGAGGAGGTGGCCTCACGGGAATCCTCGAGACACTCGGTGGAAAGCTTCTTGATGTTACTGCTGATTCTTTGGCCACGCCGGCAGGGTTTTTGGGTGATGGTGTTGGAAGAGGTGCTACGACTGGTCTTAAGATCAACAATGGAGTCAAACAAACTACCGCAGAAAAGCCATCTGGTATCAACGCTATCGCGTCAAATCTAGGATTTGGGTGAGTACACTTCAGACAAAAGAAATCAAATCTATCACAACCCTTTTGCTAATTAGTATCACAGAGCTTCCAATGCTCTCACGGGAACTTTAGACACATCCTCATTCCTCACTGGTGCAGGTGCCGCTTCTTCCGCTCTAGGCACGGGTCTTGGAGGAGGAACCGCCAGCGGATTGGGTCTTAATAAATCAGCTGTCGCTGCACCTAATGGCACTGGCATCCCGTTGATTGCTGGGAGTCTTGGAAATGGGCTTACTCAATCACTCTTCTCGAATATTGATATGTCGAAATTGATGGGTGGATTGCCGACTGGAATGTTGCAATCTGCGGTTGTGAATGCGGGGAAAGGTATGTTTGTTTTTTGTTTGTTTTTTGGTGATAGAGTCGGTGGTTCGGATGGTCTGGACTGCAGTTCAGTTTGAGATTTTGGTTTTGAGATTCTGGGAATTCTATTCTCAGTCGTCTAAATTTATCAATTTGGATGAATATAATGATTATAGCAATTTCACTATCTGAAATAAGTCGAATATTTCAACGATGTTAATCTGCGGATTGCAGTCTGGACTATTAAACATCTTGAGTAGAATCATGCTAACATTGTTATAGGATTGGGAGAAGGTGCTGCAGAAGGTCTTGATTTACCAATGAATATGGCTACTATGAGAATGAGACTCAAGAGAGCCGCCGCCGCCGCTGCAGGAACCAACACGACAGGCTCAGGTCTTGACGTTAGTACAATTGCATATGGATTCACCAAATCACTCTCAAGCTCCTTCCTTGGCGCCGTCGATGTCAAGAAATTGGCTACCCAAGCCATGTCCGGATCCAATCTTACCAGTATGGTTGGCCCTACTCTTGTAGGAGCCGGATCTGGATTGGGTGCCGGCGCAGCACAAGGTCTCGGGCTCTCGAATGCAGCTGTGACTCCTAGCACCGGAGCTGATGCTGCAGCACCAGAAGTGGCTCATAATTTCGCATACCAACTCACAACTAGCTTCCTCGCGAACGGAACGCTTTCGTCGCTGCAATCGAAACTTATGAGCGCGATGTCTATGACTAATATTTCTGCGATGTTGGGTCCAGCGGCGCAAGGAGCGGGTAGTGGTATTGGGCAGGGTGCTGCGGTGGGTCTGGGCTTGCAGGATCCTTCGACGGCGCAGAGTCCAATGGGTGGAGATATTGCGATGGTGGCGAGAGATTTCTCATATGGTCTTACGAGTAATTTCCTTGCTAATGGAACGGTTTCGCGTCTTCAGGCAAAAGCGGCTTCACTTCTTGGTGGAGGCTCGAATTCTTCTTCTGGAGCAATGATGTCGGCGTTACAAAAAGTATCGGTTTCGAAAGCAGCTGAGGGCCTCGCAAGAGGTCTTGTCGATGGTGCCGGTCAAAGTGTAGCGAATATGGGAGGTTTCCAGGCGATTCTCAATGGAGCCAATTCATCGGATGTGATGATGCAAGCCGCAACACCGATTTTCAGATCGGATGATTTCAATGATACGACGGGGGGAGTGGCAACATCTTTTGGTCAGGGTTTGGGTGGGCAGGGTGTGACACTTATTGCGCAAATGTTGGGAATGAGTATGTCTATGTCTTCTGATGGTTCTTTAACACCAACCGCTATGGGAAATAACTCTACCGCTCCCGCATCGTTTTCCTCTACAGAAGAAACACCCGCGAATAATCTCTCTGCCCCAGCTATCCGCGCCCGTTCCTACAGATCTTCCTCTGTAATCCGCAAATCCGCACCCCCAACCCGTTCATTCTCCAACCTCCACAAACGCGCGGACAACCCCACCGACTCCACCAATCTCAACATCTCCGACATCACCACCGGTCTTCTCAACGGCGTCAACGTCACCTCTCTCGACGTCCTCCTCCAAAAAGGCGTCGATACACTTACTTGCGAAGGCATCGGCGGTTTCGTCGAGATCTTCAAGGGTCTCAAAGCAAGTGGGAGTATTCCTGCCGCGGGGGGAAATGTCATGTTACCGAATGCGACATTTACGGTGGCGAGTCAGGGAAATGAGTTTTTGATTAATCCGGCGACGCAGGTGATTTTGGTGAATGGGATTGGAATTAGTCGGTTGACGATTTTGATTGTGGTGCATGGTATGTTTGTTCGTTTTTCTCTCTTCCTCTATTTTTTTTGTTTTTGAATTCTTTGAAAAAAACAAGAATCTAACCCCCCCCCTAGCATTCCTCCTCATCCTCGCCTATTTCCTCGCCATCCCCCTCGCCCTCCTCCTCACCTCCGGCCACGAAATCGCCACCATGCTCTCCCTCCCCCACATCTGGGCTTCCGCCCCCAAAACCCGTTTCCGCATTTGGATTTTCGCCGTTCTGCCTCTCTCTCTCGGGGGCGGTATTCTCGGTATTCTTCTTCTCGGCTCCGCATCCCACGGCACGACTTTTCATGGAATCCTCGGATTCGCGGTCCTCGTTTTGACAGTATTGGCGTTTGTACTGGAAATGAAATTTCTTCCCGGGATAGAGAAATTGAAACTTCTGAGGGGAATAGTGTTGAGTGTACTGTTGGCAGGCGCAAATGCAGCGTTCGTAACGGGTTTTGTGGATATTCAGAGGATTAGTTTGTGTACGGTTAGATTGCCCGATCAGGTGTTGATTGGGGCGGCGATGAATGTGGCGAGTTTGTTTACGACGGGGACCACGGTGGGTGGCGGTCAAAATGAGGTTGGAGAAGTGGGTGGGGAGGAAAGGGGGGAGTGTCGGGGTGAATGTGGATGGGGGGAATGATATGGAGAAGAGTGGGTTTGAGACGGATGAGAAGGAGAAGATTGGATTGGTGGAGAGGATTAGGGGTTTGAGGGGTTAGGATGGGTGGATGATTATGATGGATATGTTAGTTGTATGAGATGGTTGAAATAGTTGAAATGGTTTTAGATACCCCTTGGAGTCGACTGGTCGTCTTCTTTACACTCTCTAATAGATAAATAAGTAGGTAGTTAGTTATAGCATTGTGAAAAGATAAGTAGCTGAAAATAAAAATGATACAAAAAGGTTTATAAATTGCGAGATTGTAGAATTCTACAATACTCATACTCTAAGAATCATAACTTCTAAACGGATAAATATCCAAATCATACAAGAATGAAAAAAAATGTCTTCCTCTCTCTCGCTTAAATCTACTTTACCCCTCACCCCGCCCCCCCCAGCTCTTTTCGCACACCCTATACCTTCTCCCTACACCTTCTCCCTACCCCTCTCCCTACCCCTTCTCCCTACCCCCTCTCCCTACCCCTTTAACTCAACCCCACAACCTGGAAGTTATAATTACACAAATTCGCCTTATTCACCACCTCCAACGGGCCCTTCCCACTAACCACCACCGTCCCCGCCGCATTCATCACGCTCATACTCACCGCCCCCGTCGTAATATTCGACACAACCATCGTATTAAAACCCGGTTCAAAATTCTTCGTTCCCAACACCTTCCCCCCCACACTAATACTCCCTTTTAATCCCTGCACCCCACTCGCTACCAACACCACCGCCGTAACACTATCCTCCACGCCCCCAATCCCATCCGGTTTTCCCAATCCCAGAGAATCCCCCGAACAATCTCCATTTTTCAACAACGTATGATGCCAAAATGTTCCTTGGGCATCCTTCCCATTCGTCGGATACATGGTTTCCGTATTCGTTTTCCCCTCCTTCCACACCTTGATAAAACTCTTCAGAATCTGCCAATATCCTCTATGATCATAATCGATACTCGACAACGCCTCGGGAGTCGTGTCCGAAACCAGCGGTTCCCGCCACGTATTCCCCATGTAATGCGATTCTCCCGCATCGTTCCACGTTTGGAATTCGATGAAATCGGGTTGTGCGGAGAGGACCTGAGCGAAGCGGACTTCGAGATTGGCTTCGCCGCGTCGATACCAGTTTTGCGTGCTGTCGATGTGTTTGAATTGGAGCGGGGAAATGCCCATCATGAATCCTTTTCCGGCGGCTTGGGCGGCTTTCCGATAGATGCTGTCGTCGAGGGTGTTGACGGGGGAGTCGCCGGCGGAATAGGTGGGCCAGGAATTCCAATTGAATGTTCCGTTGAGGGTGGGGTATTTGGTGAAGAAGGAGGATGTGGCGGCGACGTCTTGGAATGAGGGGATTAGATAGATGGGGTGACCGGCTGCGGACATGACGGCTTGGACTTCGTTTTTCCAGCCGTCGTTTACGCTGCCTTGACCGAATGTAAAAGAGGATGTGCCCCCGTTGAAGGTGGAGACGAAGGGTTGTCCGGAATAGGTATAGTATGCGCTGTTTGTGACGTATGTTTTGAGGATGGGGATGAATTGGGAAGGAGAGTTGAATCCGGTCATATCGAAGGAGAAACTGTGTAAGAGTTAGTTGAGGGTTTGTTTGTGAGAAGAGTGATATGTACAAAAGTTTAAAATTATGAGTTTGGGCATGTTTGAAAAGGGAGTTGACAGCGTTCAATGCCCATGAATGGCTAGAATCTAATGTTACGGCTAAATTGAGAGCAAAAGCATCGACTCCTAATGCAATAGCATCAAGGATATCTTGCTCACAGTGAGCATCATTGACCCCTCCTATCATGTAGTGAAAGAAGCTAAAAGAGATTAGAAAATTGCTAATGCATGACTAGATGTGATACTTACACAGGTTTTCCTGTAGGCGCTGCGGCTGCAGTTACTATCGCAGATGTAGATTTTGAGGATGCAACTACACTTGATGCATCCTTAGAACTGGTTGGTGATGTTTCCTTGGAAGATGTGGCTTTCGTAGCAGGAGCAGCGACAGCTAAAGCATTTTCACTGACAATTTTGGCTAAAATTTCAAACGTAGATCAGTACTCAGTGAACCAACCATGAGGGAATAGATAATGAGGATTACATACCGGAACCAGAACCATAGGCAGAAGCAGAGGGAGAAGCAGAGGCAGAAGTAGAGGCAGAAGCGCTCGAAGTGATGGTGCTTTTCACTGACACAACTGTCGATGTTTTCTGAGCTGAAGTAATAGTAGTAGAGATAGCACTCGTAGTAGCTACAACAGAAGATGTTGCTGCACAACCTGTTCCAGTTGATCTCTACAAAAACATCAATATCTCTTTCAATTCAAATCACAAGAAGATCTCCACTTACTAAAACCGCCGAAGTAGTAGGCTTCACCACAGTCTCCACACACGTTCCCGCGCGGTGAGAAATATGATCATAAGCTCCTAAAAGTCCCACTTCACAACAGAAAGCATTTCCATCCAATCCATCCCATAGATTCCAGGAGGCATCTGCACATTTGGGTGCTGCTTCGATTACACTCCTGCATTCTCCCGCTGTTGGGCATTAGATTTGTTGCATTCCATTTGACTCTCCGCCCGAGAAATAAAAAGAAAGAAAACAAGATATCATACCAAAAGGACAACAAGCAGCAACCTCCGAATTCGCAGGTGTAGCACAAAACATTCCAGAAGGACAACATGCACCAGCCGCTGTATCTCCACATGATGTGCTGCCTGCTGGACAAGTAGAGGCCTGGACAGACCAACCAGATAATCCTGCATTGCGTATAGATTGAAGCGAGTGTAGAGGTAGATGTCTTGCAGAGATGAGGCTTGAAGAAGCTAAAATAGTAAGGACTGATAGATGCATGATTGCGAAAAACAACAGTGTAGCAAGAATGCAATAAGTAAAGATACTTTATTGTAAAAGAATGTATGAAGAAACTATTCAAGAGGAGTATCCTCAAACCCAAATTCAAACAACAACAACAACGAGCAGAACTTCAACAAAAGAATGTGTATCAAAACCCGTATCCTGACAGATTGATAATTAAGAAAGAGGCTTTGAGAATAAGCAAAGAAAGATACCTAATATATATAATATATATACAAACCTCTCACCAATTCTCGAACGAAAGAACAATCCTCGAGCCTCTCTCGCGGACAATTAATCCTCCCTAAGGTTACATCTCTATCGGCCGAATTATCCATTTCAATTTCCTTTACCATTTTCCTCCAACTCCCTTCATACGACTTATGAGATGCGATCACACGCACATACACACACATCCCTATCATTCCCACGAGCGGAAGATAAATTACTCCTCAGGATCAAAAAGCTTTGGAAACAACGGGGCGATTTCATCTCTGCACTCCATCTAATTGGTCACTGATCCCTCTTAGCGGGCATTGAAAACAAAACAGCGCCACGATAAACCCCTGAAAGGATGAAGTTGTAAATTGGTGGTTTATTATAGGCTCATCTGTGATATGTAATCCACTATCTCGTGGATTAAAATATCTCCCGTGTTAGTTTTGTAGGGGTTTTGACAGCTTTTGGGGGAATGCTTCGCGGTAGGGTTTCTTGGGTTGTTTGCAGTCTATCGTGGTATTGCAGGCAACAGAATTATTGTGAGTACTTGATTGTTAGATGAATGGATGTTCATCTATGAGTAACGAATGACGACTGATGTAATTAATCATTGATCACGATTAGATCCGATCTGTTTAGCAACGGCCCGAGTCGAGACTTGAGAGCTAGTTTTTGAGGCTGAAAAATACTCATAGGCAAGAGAGATGTTTACTGTATTCAAGTGCTAATGTAACGTGCGGCCCAGTATCTAAATCTCAAGAGAACAGGGGGCGACATATAAAAGGTACTGAATTTCTTATATCCTCCGATGCTACCTACCATCCATACACGCCATCCATACCCACCATAACTACCATCCATCCATACCAACCTGCGCATAATTTTCCTTCTCCAAGAACCCCAAGAAATCCTCTACAGTGTTACCTTGAGTATTTCTTCATTTTATTTCATATCTACAAGGTTGCTTCTTCTCCATCAATCCTTTCGTATGATACTACGTTAAGCATCCAACTCCCCCTCCCCCTCACCATTCCATCCAAATCCATACCCCCAGATCCAACTCTAAATCTTACAACCCCCTCCCTCCATTGATATCATCTTCCAGTACATATATACTCATATACGATACCGAACTTCGGTAATCCCGAGATGTCTCTCTGTACGTAGGTAGTAATAGGTCTCGCATATTTAAAGTTCGGAATCGCTCTAGAATAGATCTTCCTTCGCGTATCTAAGTTCGGGATAAGGGGTGTGTGGATTTTATGTAGGTAGGTGTATATACATACATCTATGTTTTGGATGCTAGATACTACCTACCAACTATTCAAATAGATAGCACCTAACTACTTTTAAGATCTTGAGATATCTAATAAGTAGTCAGGGTAGCATTGGCTATAGATAGACTGAATCGATTATGAATTGACTACTACTACTACTACTACTACTACTATCCAATAAGTTAGATTGGTTCATCTGGGATATTACGAGGTTGATGGACTTTTTATTACTATAGGTATATTCGGTTGCTATCTACAATCTACCATGTATATATACTATAGCTACATAAAGTACTCCCCTATATATCTCAAGAACGATGTATTTCACTCACGGGAATTATATATTTTGTATCCTTCTTCTGTAGCTGGGGTATATCTTTTCCCTCTCTTCTCCCTCTAACACTTTCCCCTCGCTGCTATTAATAACATCACAATATCATTCTGTACGTGGGCGGCGTAGTATTAGCTATGGATAGATCGATTCGATTAAGAATTTATTATTCCTACTATCTTCTTCTATATATCTACCTACCTACGCTCATCTCGCTCTTTCATCCCCACTCCCTTATCTCCTTCTCAAACTCCAAAATCTCTCCCCTCATATAGCTATTCATCCCTATCACCCTCTCTTCCTCCCCCTTTACCACCCACAAACCTTAAAACACCTTTCCTTCCCCCTTATCCCAACTCTCATCTCTACATCTGTATCCGTACTCTCTGAATACGAAGATCAACTGTTTGTTTACTCAACCCTATCTACTTAACCTCATCTACTCAACCATTAACTCAACCATTAACTCAACCACATCAACTCAGCCATCAGCCATCAACCATCATCATTTTACCACCATCTCCCCCGTAAACCACATCTCTCCTCTCTCCCCTTCCCCTCACTCCAAACTCTTCCAACTTAACTCCCTCAAACCCAAATTCTCCCAGCATTTCAGAATAAATCAAGTCCTATCAATCCAAATCCAGATCCTACAGATCTAATCCAATTACCTTGAAGTTCGAACTAGACTTACGTTTCATCCCATCTCATCCCCTCCACATTACATCACAATACATTGCATTACATTACAATATAGTATATACACAAATTCTAATCTCCTTCTCCAGACCCAACAAACTTTTGTATAGACTACCTACTAATACACTTATGCTCCTTTGACATATACTCCCACAACACTTTCCTATATCTTCTTCTCCACCTCCCTCTCCATGTCTCTCTCCCTCTTTCTTCTGCAATTTTCTTTTTCTCCTTAACACCTTCTTTGTAGTATCTCTATTTAGTTTCTTATACTTATTTATCTCTTCTTTTTTCCATGTCTATCTATCTTCTCTCTTTTCCCACATTCTCTTACTATTAACTATCCTCCCTTTACTTTTACCTTTTACTTTTCCTCCGTCACTGTTACCTCAAACCCTTTTCCCTCTATTTTTCATCTTTATACTCCCTCTTCTTTCTTAGCTATAGATAGACTGAATCGATTAAGAATTTACTACTACTACTACTCCCTCTTCATACTCCCTCCCTATACTCCCTTCTCATACTTCCTTCCCCTTTATCCCTTCTACCTTTCTCTCCTTTCTCCTTTTTCCTTTTAATCTTTATCTATTCTATTTTTATTCATTTTATTTCTATTTCTTCTATTTCTATCTATCCTATCTTTACTTACCCTATTCTACCCTATCTCATCCCATTTCATTCTATAAAATCATATCAAATCACATCCCCACCCCATCCATCTACCCCTTCTCTCTCTATACCCCATACCCCACACTCCATAGCCCCTCTATTCCCAACTCCTATTCATCCTCCTTCTTCACCTACCCACCACCACCGAATCTCAACTCTATCTTGAATTTTCCTCCCCCCTCTCTCATTATCTCTTTCACACTCCTCACTACCCAACTCCTCTACAGCATACTCTTTCGATCCTTTCTCCTCCGCCCTCTCCACCCCTCCTCCCCTTTCCCAAGCTCACTAGTCCAAAATTCAAGAATCTAATATCACTTTACTTTACTTCGTTCTACTTACTCTCCTACGGAATACCCAATACTCATCTATTCAACCATTGAAACAAAATAATACTTATCTCCTCTATTCATCTCCTTGTCTTCTATTCCGTTATCTATCTATTCATCTATTTATATATCCATTTATTCTATATCTATTATATCTTCATATACATCCATCCCCTCCCTTCTCCACCCTTTACCTCTCCATCCTCCCCTTCTCCTCCACACACCCCAAACCCTCCACTCAACTCCTATCCACTCCTTCACCCGTCACCCCTCCTACACCTCCTACACCTCCCACACCTCCCACACCCCAAATCTACACCCCAACCCCCCACATCCCCAAATTCCCAAAGCCCCAAAGCCCCAAGAACCCACACCACCTACCACCTCAAAGAACAAAAGATCAAGATCAAGAATCATATGCTATGTACATACATACTCACCATACATACACACCATACATACACATCATACATCTCAGTACTTCACATCTCACCCCTCTCACAAAATCAGCAACATCTCACAAGAACAACCACATCGCTAATATCAAGAACATTCATTCATCTAAATAGAAAGAGATATCAAAGTTGCTATTTCTTCATCTGATTTCATCTCATCTTATTCCATCCCACTCCACTCCACTAGCAACATAACAATGCAAAACCTATCCCCCCGCTCACCCCCTCCTCTCACCCTTCCCCTCCCCTTCCCTTGCCCTCCCCCCTCTCTCCATTCACACAAAAGCTCACAACTCACTCACAACTCAACAAAGCAATTCAATTGATCCTACCGCTTCCCTCACAGCAAGCAAAGAGTAAAGTTATACCTTGCAACTAATCAATCAGTCAACCAATCAATCCACTCATTTTGTACCTTGTACCAGTTAAAGTACAATAGCCCATAGGTCCATCCATTCATCCATGTCCATTGATCAAATGAAAAGTAAACAGAATTCACGTAAAACATCCATATCCATAGCTATATCCATCAACCATTCGACGACGACAAAAAGTGTATGAAAAGAAAAGAGAATAGAGAGAAACCAAAGCGATGATTGCATGTTATGTTAAAAAGGACCTCCCTAAACATAATTGTAAGGAAAGAAATCAAATGTTCACGCCACGCCTGAGTAGCTCGAATCTTTTACTACAGAAAGAAAAAGATGTGAATATTTGTTATGGTGAATGATTTTCTTGATTCCATCTTCTTAATCTATGCATCAGTCTTCGCCTTCTTCTTTCTAGACTTTGGTGCTGATTTAGGTGTTTCAACTGTTGCTGGTGCTTCTTCTTGCTCAGTAGTAGCAACAACTGGCTCATCAGCCTTCTTGCCAGAACGCTTACGCTTTCTAGCCGGACTTGCTTCTTTTTGAGGGGGGACGATAGAAGCAGACGATGGAGCGGGGATTTCTTCAGCGACATCAGCTTTGCCTTTTGTTTTACGTCCCTTGGCTTTCGGGGTCTTGGGAGCTGGAGTTGGTGATTTTTCAACTTCGGCTTCGGCTTCCGGTTCACCTTCGGCATCTTCTTCTTCCTCAACTGTAGCTGTAACTCCAGCGGTGGCTTCTCCTACGAGTTGAGCATCGGCAGAAGCATCTGCTCCAATGTTGTTCTCATCAGCGTAGGCGGCGGCAGCATCATCACCCATCTCCTTAGCTGTAAGGTTACCTCTGCGATAAGAGTGCATGCGCGCATTGTAGAGACGGAGATTATCTTTGTAGGCATCTTGCCAAAGCTTGATCGACTATCAGCAATGGAAAGAAGAAAAAAAAAAGAGCTTGGATGAGAAAACTTACAGCTTTATCCTTAGGAGCCATATCAGTCCATCTCTTGGTACCTTCACTTGAAACCTCTCCCTTGGGAACATCGCCAAGATCTTTCGCGATAATGGGACGAGCGGTTTGCATATAGAGGAAGAATGGAGTCAGAGGACGCTTTGGCGCATTGGGATCATGTTGTCTCTTTTTTCTTTCCTTCTTATCTGGAGCAGTATCCACGGCTTTAGCTATGATAGGACTTGCCGCGCGTTGAAGAGCACCCAAAGTTTCGAGGAGAGGATTGTCGCCGAGCTTGGATAGAGCTGTATCGATGGTATAACCGGTGCCATGTTCGCCGAGGACAGCATTGGTATGTTTGATGTAGGCCGAGGAAACACTTGAGATAGCTTCTTGTAAGGTCGCGAGACCACCGATAAACTTGGACCACATTAGCGTTTGCTCACAAAGATACAAGTTTAAATCCATTTGCTGGCGGGTTGGTGGGGTCGCCATTGTGTTGAAACGCGAAAGAGTTGATCAGATGTAAACAGTATTGACGCGTGATAGAAGACTCTGAGATAGATTTTGAAGTTGGGATTTTGGATGTGACAATAGGTGCAATCGAGTCGCGTCAATGTGCGATTTTGATATTTGTATGATTCCAATATATATATATATTGGGTATAGTCGTTGAACTTCTATAGCTGATGGGAATGATGTATATAGGTAATGGCGGGGGGGGGGGGGGGGGGGGGGGTGGATAGTTGATAGATTGGAATGCGATGAAGAAGATGGAATGGCTCGAGACAAGGAATGTAAAAAGAAGAATAAAGAAGAGGAAACTTACAGTATCTCTGGTTCTCACAAAGCTTGCAACATCGATTTGTAAAGTTGCTCCATCACCAGCTGGAACCTCCTTTGGCTTTTCCTCCGTCTTCTTTGGACGTGGCATTTTTAATATTTTTTTAATATATTTTTTTTGGATTAATATGTTATGTAGATGAGTAAGTATGGATGGAGGGTTGTAAGTATGGATTGAAGGTTGGTATGTTTGGATTGAAGGTTGGTATGTTTTGTTGTAGGCTGTCGTTGCTGATATTCCAAGCCTGAGAATGATAAGAAGTGAGTTAAAATTTGAGGGATTATGTTGGGGGGTTTTGGGGATATTGGGGGGGGGGAAGGTGAATTATTTAAAAGCGAATTATGGGCTTTCCGATCACTAAGATCACTGGGGGGTATGGGAGGCCGCACCAACTCGTTTGTGAGAGAAGTGAGAGTGAGAGTGAGGGAAAAGTTATTAGTGAGGAAAGGAATAATAATAATAATTGAATGAGTGGGGTTCGGAGGGGGTATGGCGAGTAAAAGATTTTTTGATTTTTTTTTTTCTCTTTTTCTTTTCTTCCTCCTCTTCTACTGTGGGTGTATTGGTAGAGGACTAGACAGACTGTGGGTGTAGGGGGGTTAAAGGAAAATACGCGCCATTTATTTTAAAATTGAACACTGAAAATCTATCATCTATTTTACTACTAGGTATAGAAGGGTAGGTACAGTATGAGAGTGCGAGAGTACATACATACATTATTGGAAGAAAGGTAGGAGGAGGTAGGTGGGCAGTAGATAGTAGATACAAAGATAGCAGCAGTGTCGTATTTCAGAGTCGTTTCCGTCTCTGATTATAGTGTTAATAATAAGTACCTACCCTCGAGCTATCTATACAAATAGGAATAGTATTATTTGCTCTCAAATCATTACAAACTATACAAATTACACAAATTATTACAACTTATTACAATCTTCATATTCAATAATATCATTGTAAAGAGTTACTCGCTACTCAACAAGAATTGATATTCAGGTAATTATACAATCAATAATACTCATGCTTTACAGACTGCCTCCTTTATTATCTAGACAGGTATTGAACGAAGACTTTCTTCTTTGCTTCTCCCAAGCCGTTCTGATTCATTCGGTTTGCTTATATTGGCACTGTATCATTCTCATAGGGGGAGGCCACGGGGTCTTTTTTTTAATTCAATCTAGTACCTAGCTAGGTATAGATCTCTACACGTTTCGGCGCTACGAAGCCTCAAAGGTTCCTCTTCCCCGTCCCGATTTCGGTGGTCGTGTACTACAGATTAATCAACCACCCCCAAGAGGTAGAAGGTACGAGGTTCAGAACAAGTTTTAAGAGAGATTCATTTACGAAACACCTGGATCTATAAGATGGTACCATCTAAACCACTAGTTTTCTGGTTGTTCTATTGAAGGGCTCCTTCCTTCAGTGGTCAATCCCGATCTGGGTTTCTCCTACAAATTGTGTGAGCACTAGATATCTCTGTACCTATACCGATTCTGGGTACTGAATTGGATGATTAAACTCAGCTCAAGTTCCTCAACTGATCCAATTTGTATTTGGTAACAGAAAATTGGCTTTTGTGGGCGCATTACAGGGTATACCTAAACATATTCTCGTATCACGATATCACCCGGCCTCTCCTACCCTACTTGACCCCTACTCTACCCATATTAAGCCTAATCACATTGCCACATGTGCTCTCTCCTCTCTCTCCTTGATCTGCTTTCGCTTCCTTTGCTTTTGAACATTTCACCACCACTGCTATTATAAAGACTCTATGAATTCTTCAACAATTGGATACTGTTTGGATACGTTTGAGAACCTTGGAAGCTATAATCATATCAATACAGATGGCACTGGATGGATGTATTTACTGTCGCACATCCAACACCTCTCTACCTCGGTATTGGAGCACTGTTGGAAGTTCCCATTGTTGATAAGGTTACCCAATCTCCAAGAATTCAGACTTTTGATAAGGATTGAGTCACTCTTTACTATCAACCAAGGCTACCTAATAACCCCCATCGATAGCTCTGCAATGGTTCAAAACACGTACATATTCACTCACACCTAGGTAGTGAGGTACACATCGTACTAAACTCAAGATAACCTCCTCACTCACGGGGCATTCTAGATTGGGCCTTCAAAAGCACATTCTCTTATTACCTAGGTGCTCATATTCCTCATAAATCAGGTACCTCCAGTGCTCAAGGACGTACCTACTACCTACTACCTACCTCGAGCATCTAACCAACCTTATCAACAGCCCACACCCAAATCTAATAGACCTCTCCACCTTTACTAGCTTCACTACCTTTATTACTTTCACTACCTTTACTACCTCTATTACTTTCACTACCTTTACTACCTTTACTACCTTTACTACCTTTACTACCTTTACTACCTTTACTACCTTTACTACCTTTACTACCTTTCCTACCTTTACTACCTTTACTACCTTTACTACCTTTCCTACCTTCATAGCTATCCCTACAACTCACCAAGCTGGTAAGGTTACCTAAGTACTCTTTGACAACGCCGGCGCAACTCCCGTCGGTTCGGTGTATCAGTGATCGCCATCAGGTCATAACATTTTACTACACTGACTGCAAGCTTTCCAATCATTCCCCTCCATTGCTACACAATTCTACCTCATTCACAGCTGACCGCAGGACCAACATAAAAACACCTTTGGATTCCTTTCTCGTGCGAGATTCAATCTTACTGGATCATCTTGACTTGGCGTACAGCGAATATCGTATCAAAACCCCACCAAATTTGAAGATATTCGGCTTGGCTTACCTATTTGCTAATAAATTGACCCCTCAAAAAGCCTTCAATCACTTGGTCCACTAATCTACAAAGCAAAGGACTCATAGCTGCTTGTCTTATTATTTCCTGTTGTTCGATTTGAACCCCTCCATAAGTTCAACAACTACATATTCGAAGATATCATGGCAAGTATGATTTCGTTCAGCAGCTCGACGCTGCTTCTATCCTTGGCGATCCTACTACTATTAGCACATCCAGCTCATGCATTTGGTGCGGGAAATATTGCTTCGGTTTCAAAGATCGAGGGAATAAACTGTAAGTTCATATCTGTACCGCCAATACAAGAGAACCCTTTCTGATTTGGTATTCAGGGCGCCATGGAGATATTGAAGATACCCTCCTTACACTTGTGATGTCAAGAGCGTGTGGTGGTAAGAAGTTTGATAAAATGATGGTAGCAAGAGTTTACTTTGGTAACTGGCTTAGAGATTACTGTTAGTATAATATCATCACATCTTGAACTATCCCACCCACCCCTCAATCTCACGGTTATCGGAAACTGATCTTTTTTTCCCCCTCCTCCAGCTCAAGCAATCGATGTTGGTACCGTCAAATATGTTTCTGCCGAAGCGATTCGCATTTTACTCTGGGTTCTTGGATTTATGACATTCGGATATGGCACCAGAGAATTCGAAGTTACAGCTCAAAGATTGGGTTGTTATCGACCAGAAGATCACATTGATAACCCAAAGGACTATGCCGATAACCTTGATGCTTCAGAATATGATCCTAGACTTCGAGGTCCAGTCGATGAAGAAGTTGAGCTCGCTATCGATCCCCGAACTGGCATGAAGAACTATATTGCCAACGAGCACGTTGGAATCATGTCATCTGCTGAACATGTCCGAAAACTCTTCCGTGAATCTATTCGACTTGGTAGATCCTATGGAAGAAACCAGAACAAGGACGACTTATATGAGGCACTGCGATTGATGGGTACTGGACTACACTGTCTAGAGGATTTCTCTGCTCACAGCAACTACACCGAACTTGCTCTTATCGAGATGGGTGAACGTGATGTGTTCCCACATGTTGGAAGAAGAACTCGAATCGCGCTTCCAGGCGCTGAACATGAAGTTTACCCACTCATTACTGGTACCTTTGGTGGTGTTGACTTCCTTCACTCTGTCATGGGTGAATTCGACGATAAAGCAACTCAAAGCGAAATCCAAGCCCTTGAAGGAACCATGCAAGAAGGTAGTGAAGGCAATACCAGTGTCTTAAAGGACCTATTGAGTTCAGTTCCTTCCGGACTTTTTGGTGGTAAAGATGAAGCTAGCAAAGCAGATGAGCTTCAAGCCAATGCTGCTGCCGCCCAACAATCTCAAGAGGAAGTCTCTCCAAAAGATCCAGAAGCTTTCACGATCCGAATGCAAGAAGTCGCCAAGGAAATTTATCCAATCATTCAATGGCACGACGAGACTATGCAATCAATTCGTGAAGCTATCGAAAAGATTCCTATCCTTCCAGATCTCATCGAGAACATTGAGGAACAAATCAACATTTTTGTCTTCTCTCTCCTTGCTCCATTCGTTCTTCCAATCATTGGCCAGATTAAGACCGAATTGAATACAGGTTCCTCCGAGGTTATTCAAAGCAGTAAGGACAAGCAATTGATTGTTTTCCATGACGACCATTCTACTGATCCTACACATTCTATGTTATCCAAGGATCATTTTTCTAACGTAAGTACTACGTCTTTTAGTACAATTGTTATCCGCAAAGCGACCTTTCCTCGGGTCGCATGATGCCTTTGACATCACGCTTGACTGAAGAATACAATAACCATTCCACAATCATCATTGATACTAACATACTTTTTAGATCCTCAACGAATGCGCTGGTAGGATCGCTTCTCAAGTTCTCAAATGGGTTGTTCCTCAACTCATTTCTTGTTGGGATGATGAACGTATCGATCCCGATCGTACAATTAATCGTATCGTTAACGGTGTTTTCCACCATCCCGCTCTTCGCAACTATGGTGATGATGGAGCAGCTGATGGTCGTCAACTTATGTTCAGAGTTGTAGAGGAATGGTGGCGCAACAAGGACGGTGACGAACAAGAGGAATACCGAAGAAAGTTGAGCAGAGATGGAGTTGAAAATGGAGAAAATCATCTTGAAGGGGTTCATGATACTGGTCATGGATGCGGTGCACCACTTAAGATGTCCAAGCAAGGTCCTATGATGTCTTCATCAAATCCAATGGCAAATGAAATTATGGGTGGATTTGCTTCTTCAATGGGTGGTAACGGTGGATCAGGATTTGGTGGACAAGCATCTGACGGTATTGGCAAGTTTGCTGGAGAAGCAGTTGGCGGTGGTGCTTTTGGTGGTATTGTTGGTGCTCTTGCTGGAGGCGTTGGTGGAAGCCTTTTGGCTGGAGTTCTAGGTGGAGGAGGGAGAGAAGAATCGTATTCTTCCGAAGGTTACAACTCGCAAGGTAACTACCAGCAAAGCTATACTGAAGTAGGTCACTCTGGCAATCGCTATGCTCAAGCCGAGTATACACAAGAACAATTCCCGGATGGTGGCAGACGAACAGAATATCAACAATATGGTCAGCAAGGAAGTCACGGATCTGGCTTTGAACGAATTAGCGAGCAAAGACCTCGATATGGTGGAGGTTACGAAGAAACCAACGAACGCATCTACGAACGTTCTGATGGTAGAGTCGAAACTGAAAGATGGCGCGAGGGGGAAACCGCTGATGGACGTCACTATCATGAAGCGGAGCATCATAGAGAAGAGAGATCCGGTAGTGATAGTGATGATAGTCGCAGAAGCCATAGAAAGCATCACAAGCATCACAGTCGTCGTGGAAGTAATGATAGTAACGAGGATAGGGATAGACCACAGGAGTATATTCCAGAGAGAGAGGAGCGCAGAGAGAGATTTGAAGAGCCTCGTCAGGACTATGGTGGATATGGTCAACAAAGAGAAGAACATGGTGGGTGGGGTGGTGAACGTGAAAGATTTGAGGAACCACCAAGACATGAATATGGTGGTGGTGGTGGTGGTGGTGGTGGAGAGTTCGGTGAGGCGGTTGGAGGATTGGCGGAGAGATTTGGTGGTATGGGATTCGGTGGAGGAGATCATGGAAATGAAGGTGGTTGGGGTGAGAGGGAGAGAGAAGAGGAAAGAGAAGATGAATATCGTGAGGAGAGGAGAGAGGGACGTGGATGGGGTTTCTAGATTTCTAGGGACATGATGAGTGATGGGATATGAGGAATGAGAGTATGAGCGATGATGATATGATATGACGCTATTGAAATCGTTCAGTCAGGCAAACGAATGGAATATGCGAAAACGATAAATTTCATTGAGACGGACCTAGTTAGATAGATCTTTTGAAAAGTGTTCCAGTTTCAATGCTATTACGATGCTTTTCTACTTATAACTTCGATGCTTTGAATATTTTTTATGTTTCAATGCGAGTGAGTGTATGATGGGTAATCAGCGATTCATTCTAGAGATGGAGATCTATTGGTTGGGCTTTTTGTATCTTGTATCTTGTAGGGACGTAGGTGTAGAAATAAATGGTGGGAATTGTTTCGCTTGGAGATTAGATGTTTGGAAAGGGGGGTGTTTTGGGGGCGGTATTTTAAAAGTAGGGGTGGTTCTTAGATGTTGAAGTGAATCTGATTGGATTGGATTGGGTTGGACATCGAATTATGTCTTGTATTTGTGACATCAAAGAATGACTCTCTATAAGCTTTTGCTGCGCTATTTACACTACCTAGTCATATATAACCCTTTGATGTGTGAGTTTGGACCTGTAAGTTTGAGTAGACATTGCATGTGCATGTCATGTGTAATATCCTCATTTTTCCATCTCCCATTTCACATGCACTCTGCTCTGTACTCTGCAACTCCCTCTCTCTGCCACCCCTCTACTCACTCCCCTCCTCATTCTCCTCTGGATCCAAATCCTCCTGATCAAACACCGCCTTCTCCATCAACGCCACCGCATTCCGAATAGGCAGTCCGACCACATTATCCCAACTCCCCTCTATCCTCTCCACCAACATCGCGCCCATCCCCTGGATCGCATATCCGCCCGCCTTGTCGACTCCCTCCCGCGTCTTCACATACGCCTCGATCAATTCATCCCCCATCTCCGCATCAAACACGACTTTCGTTTCCACGACCTCATTCTCGCAATTGTATCCTGGATACCGCGCGTCTTCCCGCGGCGCGACAATCGCGATGGCGGTAAACACTTTGTGGGATTTTTCGTCGCGGAGTCGTTGCAACATCCGGATGTGGTCGGCTTGCGACCGGGGTTTCTCGAGGATGGCACCGGAGTTGGTGACGATTATGGTGTCGGCGGCGATGATCAGAGAGGGGTCGGGGATGCTGGCGAGGGAATTGTTAAGACAGTGGGTGTATACCGAGAGGGCTTTTTGGATGGCGGTTTGCAGCACGTAGTCGAAGGGACCGAGGTGTTCTTTGGAGAGGTTTTCCGGGAGGGGGGAGGGAATGATTTCGAGGTTGGTGAGACCGATCTGTTGGGGGGGGGGGGGGGAGCAGATGTTAATTACTTTCTATCTTACTACACATCCATCCTTCCATCCATCCTTCCATCCATCCATTCATCTATTCCTTGATGTAACAATATAAATCCTAACATATTGAGAAAATCAAAATCACAAACATACAGAAGCCAATATCTGTTTCCGCCTCGGACTCGCAGATGCAAGAATAATCCGTTTTCCTTTTAATTCTTGTAAAAGAGGAATGTCCAGCGGAAAGGGGCCCCGCGGTAAAGGTCCTTTGCCGGTGGATATAGATTGGGATGCGGGACGGTTGGGGAGCGCGCCGTGTTGAGCAGAGGCGCTTTCGTAGCTTGGGAGGGGAGTGTATTGGGATTTTTCGTCGGGCATGGTGTGGGAGGGAGGGGGATTAGTGGTGCGGTGAGGGTGAGAGGTTTGATGGAGGTGGAAAATTGGAGATTGGAAGAGAAATGTAAGTTTATGAGTTTGCTGGTTGATTTGATTTGATTTGATTTGATTTGATTTGGATTGATTCGATTCGATGTTATAGGGATAGATATTCGAGTACGAAATGCGGGTTTTCATAATGGAGGGTTTCGTTTCGTCAGCCTTGTGGATGGGATGGGATAGACAGGGGTTTTTAGGTGGGGATTAACCTTATTGGTGTAGCGAGCAGGGTTGTGACTTCTTTATGAAATTATTACAGTATTGTCATCATCGTAATGATATTTTATTAAGTTTCTTATATCTTGATGAAATGGTGGTGATGGTAAGGAATTATTATTGATCATTTTCGGTCATGTTAATACTGCGATTTTTTGTTAGAATTTTGGGAGAGTATTTTGTTAGATGTTGAGTATGTATTGTGCGTGGTATTCTGATGATGATGATGAGATATCTTCATGTACCTACTGTCTTGACTGTATGTATAAAGCCCAAATCAAAGGAAACCTGTCGATGAGACATTTAGTAGTCTTTCCGACAGGTTGCTCAATCTATACAACAGAGTACTGTATAGTATAGTTAGTAGCTAACCTATGCAATCTGCCTCAAACTCTCTTCAACAACATCGGCTATAGCACACGCTACCCCTACTTCAGCTCGATATGATGTCATCGCCCAGAAAATTCGAAGCTCCCTGCAAGCTATCGTGTGTCCGTCCCAACTCAGTCCTTTTTGCGATGCCAGTCTTCCTCGTATCCCATATTTCGCATAGTTATACGCCGTGACCAAAGCCACCCTCACAAATAACGATACAAGTCGATATGTCGCATCGCATCTAATCTAGATGTCCGGAGACTGTAGACCACTCACGGGGCGAAACCCCATACTCTGTCGTTGAAACCTATTCTTAATATTCTACACCACACACGCCTGAGATTGCATCTGTAATCTCTTCTGCACCTGTTCCGGTAATCACCAGGATACGTGCCTTTCTTCAACTTTGCGGCGACGAGGTGCTTGTATACACTGACTGCTTGTCGATGCGTCTGAACCGGATTATGTTCATATTTTCCTAAATCATTTGGTGAAGGTTTTCAGTTTGTTCTGGAGTTGTATCTCCGCTTGGAGGGTGTAAAGCTGCGGTTTCTATCTTCTTGTTTTTCTTTTGTTTTGCGCAACTTCTATTTGAGCTTACGCATGTAATTCCTTTCTTTGCTGATTTATTCAACTCTTGAGATTTACAGAGCTGCGCTTTTTGTTTATGGCTCTGCAACGTATCATCGATAATCGACTCGTCTTCCGAAGAACTGATCGAGGCGTCCGCTTCATTCTGTGCAATTGGTTCTTGTTCCTGATCTTGTACATTCTCGGCAGGAGAATCGTGGTTGTTTCCTAGCATTGTTGTTTTTTGTTGATCGGAAATCGCAGTTTGTGGAGGCTCAGTCGGACTTGATGTGTGGTCATGTATGATGATAGGTAAAGGCTTTGGGTCCCAAGACAGATCCTCGCCATGGTTGGGATTCATGTTTGTTGATATCACCTTGGCGATATGGAGTTGGGGATTGAAGATGGAATTTCGATTATGTAGTTGAATGTTCATACTTCTTGGAAGATCCGATCTACGAGAGCTTTATATGTGCGAAATGTGCTAGTGCATGACCACATGCCTATATTCACATGTGTCGCAACAATATCCAGCGTAAATATTACTTCCAGTTTTATCTTCAAATGCTTAGAAAACAAATGAGAGTTGTAGTTTCCTAGATAGTGATGAAAATCACTCATATAGCACTCGAGATAGGTAGCTCCAAGAGATTTTTGTTGAAGAAGGTTTGTGCAGCAGGATCTCATAACTTCAAAGATGCACAACTCAAGAAAATAGTTGGACATATTGACTATAGTGGTGACAGTCTTGGTTGGTTAGTTTCAGTAAACCTGTGATTGTGATAATGGATTCTCTATATTGTTGGCGATTTGAATAGTGCTTAACCTCAGTTTGCTATATTGAGCTTGTACATATAATTCTTGTGTCCTCATAGTGCATTCCGAATGTTTTCTGATTTGAATTGTTCCACTTCGTAAACAGCTGCCGCCCCCGATATATTTAGTCACCGTCTGAAGTGAGACTCTTGGGCGTGTGCTTTTATAAGATGATCATTGAGTAGAGTTTGGTCCTTGAATCCATGGCCTAGCCCTCGAGGGCAGCTTACGGCCGAACAACAGTAAGAACCATGCCATTTCTTCATATGTTCTTCCAATCTACTCTTTCTGTTGAAATCTCTCGAACGACTCGCGCAATCGGGTACCATACAAGTAAACCTCTTCTTTTCACCAGGTTGTATAACGCAGCAGTGTTGTCTAATTTCTGCTTCTGTACCAAATCTCGCATTGCAAGCTGCGCATATATGGCACTGTTCGTGAGCCATATAATAATGAGCCTGCAAAGCCCTGTAATTGATATAGAATTTGCCACAAGCGGGATGCGGACATTTTTTGGGGCGCTGTTCGGGTAAGATATCATCAAGCTTCATTGATTGTGGTTGTTTTTGATGGGTCTCACTTTGGCCGGGCAGATATGAACTTGCAAGTGTGGGTTTGATAGATGTATCTAAAGGTTCATTCCCTCCCGTCTTCATGGAAGCTAATGAATTGACGCGCCGATCTGTATTCTCATTTGACACTTTCGGTATTGGTGGCGAGGGTTTCCAATTGGGAGCCTGCCCTGCACCCATGAGGGAATTGATACCATCTGTCAGTTTTGGAGCATACTGGTATGTAGTACCATGATATGTAGCGAAGCTTGCTGGAACATATTGAACTATACTTTGGGGCTGTGTGGCGACATGAGGTGGATGAGATTGTGAAATAGATTCCCGCCGACAATTCGTGGAGTCGCCAATCATCAAAAGGTCGTGCTGATCCATAGGTCTCATATGGCTGGGCCATAAGTTGGAAGAGGATCCTGGATCTGAGGTTCCCGCTTGCGTATTTGGATAGCTACCTGTCCCAAGAGCATTGCGAGGTTCGCACCAAGTGCAATATACCTCTTCTCCATCAGGCCCTACTATTCGAAGAATAGTATTTGCGCGGTTACATAAATGGCAACTAACTGATGGAGTAGCTTTAACCTTTTTGGTTCTTAGTGGCAGAGGAGTTTCCTGGTTCGAATCCTGATACCCTGATGATCTCTTTACAGTAGGTGCACAATCAGTTTCCGATTTGTCACTCGTCTCTTGAGATTTGTTTGGCCTCTGCGAACGTGCTCGAGTTTCGTAAATTGGTAACCTTTGTCTGCGTTCCTCGAGAAGCTTTTTTCGAAGACTGGCAGCCAATTCAACAGCTGCGGTCAATCCTGGCCTTGAAGTTCTTGGAGAGAGTGTTGAAATACGATATTGTTGGTCGATTTTTGGGTGATAGATTGAGTTTCACGAGGGCTTGTTATTTCGACAAGATCTACAGTAGTATCAGGGAAGTGCTATGCCATAGTTCCAGTAAGCGATTCCGGTGTATTTTTGATTAGCTGGGACTTGAGCTGTTCTGCGTATTGATTTATGGTCTGCAGGTTTTCGAAAAAGCTTATTCTCGAACTCTCAGACCCCTTGTAGGGTATTGGTTCTAGATTCAACACTTTGATAATCTCAGATGCCACGAATCTCTGTCGAGTATCTCCATCTTCTAAGAGGGATAGATGGCAAATAACCTCTTCTACGTAGGCATATTTCAGAATGCTTGAAACTCTGGGATAGAAATCTAATACATCCCTGAGCACTCTCCAAGCATCACTGCGTTCAAGGGTTTGGACATCATTCTAATTTCGTAAGTCAGCATGCTCTAAGTGATGTTTTGGAGATGTTAAAGTAAAGACTTGAACCTTAAGCGTGCCGCCATTCAAGCAGGAAAACAAGATCAGAAACTTACAATTGAGGATTTGGTGTTTAGTCTGCGAATTATTTTTGATATCCTTAGCGCTACGCTCATTGTAATGTCCTCACGGCCTGGTCGTCCCCTCTTCAAGATACCTTGAAAAAGAGAAATAGCGTCGTCATGTTTGCCTTGGCCGAGAAGAGAATCAGCGAATGCAACAACCATAGACAACTCGCTATCGATATAATAGTTGGACTTGGTCGAGAGTCCAATAAGAAACTCTTGAGTTGTGGTCGACATTTCCAACTGGCCCACTGCCTTTCTAAAAATCGAATTGACCAGCCCCTCGGCTAAAGATTCCATTCGGCATCTGTTTAAACAGTTTACCAGTGTTGCACCAATAAGAAAGACTTCCATAGACTGAGAACCATAAATTCCTTTGACTTCATCAAGGATAGGTCCGAGCATATCTCGCGCATTGTCATATGATTCAAGCTTGACCTGGCCAAACGCAATCAAAACTCTAGTCGTCAAAGGCAGATCATCATAGACAACTCCTTTTAGTTTGGCCAGTGATATAGCTCCATATAACTCTGCCTGAGTCAATAATTCAATGGTCGAGTATGCAAAAGACTTTCCAAAGGGGTGCCAGTCAACTTGGCGGTTGTATTTATAACGGTGTGGAGACTCTTCGCTTGTGAGGATTGATGCTAACCCAAGGCCTATAATTCCATTCAAATATTTTATGCCGTAATGGTCAAGACTTTCAAGCTGTTCATGAACGATTGCGTGACCTAGGTATAACGATTTGACTCCAGGCCATTCTTTGAGATACTCAAGGCAACTTAATATCAAGGGATCAACTGTCGCCGGAATACTGTCCCCCATCAATTTCGAAAGACGTATGAGGAATTTAGCTAAGGTAGCTAGATATCTGGCTATCTTGGCCCTAAAAAATGATGAGCATTTTATCTCAACACATTAAACATTACGAAAGAAAGTGACTACCTATCTAATTGCCGATCATTCAGATATTCCATGAGATCTTTCATATCAAGGACACACAGAAAAGGGACGCATGTTGTCTGCACAATATCCGACAACTGGCTTTCTACCTCCATCCACGATATTTCCGTGTATGGTGTTGGAAATGCCTTCAATATCAGCTCCAACATGTTGAACTGGATGTTTCGCCGTGCTCTATCATCGGAATTGGAAGACAACCACTGTTTCCAGCTTTCGTCTACACATATATTTGACTTAACAACGTCTCGAAACCCCTTATGATTCCATTATCCTTCGCCTCTTGAATTATATTCTCTAGATCTAAATCAAGTCCAATGCTCGTCTCAGAGCACTCGACGATTTCGCCTTCATCATTCCAGGTCTTGGAAGGCTGGCAGATACGTTCGAAGAATATCCGTGGTAATTCGTGGCATTTGAAGAAGGCCAGGAATTGAAACCTGCGTCGAGAGACTATCCTAGACGGAAACCCAAACTCGTGTCGACGCCCCATGCTTATCAAAGTGATTGTTGGTTGCACCCGCCAATGTACAAAATTATCTGTCGTCGAGGCAAAGATTTACAAGGTATATAGATGGCTAGATCCACCAAGAGTTAAGACTGGCTCCGATGACTAGACCGTTGCTTTTAGCATTGGAAATGCCTGGGAACGTAGCGTAGACGAGAGGTTGATAAGATAGCTTTCTTCCAGATGATATATAATCTGCTTGTATTGGAGGCTGGATAGAATAGATTTCGGTGTAACGACTATACTGCGGGGTATGTTGCACTGAGATAGCCTTGCTTGTATACTATGGACTTGATTCGTTAGAAAGGTGAGGCAATAGGCAGCCATCCAAGTTGGGCTGATATCACACTTCAAAAGACCTTTATTTTTCATAATTGATAAACACAAATGAAAAAAGATTAAACAAAAATGTTTAGGGCGACGTCGAAAACTGTACGGGTCAAGGGAATATCTCCACATTTGAATCGGGAAGAGTTTTTAGAGAAAGCAGAGTATTGTTCACGCGACCTGCGCCGGCCATGGCCCCAGTCAGTCAATCTTGGTAATTCTAAGGTCAGTAGATACACTTGATATCTTTTGTTAGAAGGAATCCAGTACTCTGAAGATTCATTACGGATTTTCGATGGGGTTTGGCATGATTTTTCGCTTTTAGGTATTGTGCCTCAATAAAAGATGTAGTCTTACATTTTCAAACCGGTATGGGTTTTAGCGTTTTGGACTGCAGTCTGTTATCCTGAACGGCAGGACAAAGTTGCTAATCAACTTTTCGATTACAGATATCTCTTGTGATTGAACAAGAGGATCAAGTGGGGACAATCACCTTGCCCTCGCTCAAGCACAAAGAGGAAGCTTTAAAGTACCACAACACAGAATGGGAATTTGATGACAATTTCAACGGCATTACAACTCTGTATTCATCAGACGACCCAGAGGTAGAGTCAGTCATACCATTTTTCTTAGGCTCCGCAAAATTCTAGACTAACTCCACTTGACCTGCTGTATCTTTTGGCGACAATGGGCTACATTCAAAGACTTTACGCACTTTGAGATTTTAACTTCTCTGAAAATGACGCTGATTCAATGTTTACCACAGTGTTTGCGCTGTTCATGGTCTGAACGGAAATGCATTTGATAGTTGGGTAGCCATCAAAAGCCAGAAGATGTGGCTACGCGATATGCTGCCACTGTCAAAACCTTTTGACAAAGCTCGCATCATGACATTTGGATACAGCTCTCGTCTGCGCGATAGAGGTAATCTCTCTGGAATCACTGTCTGGTCACAAGATCTGCTTCGAAGCGTCAGCATCCTTAGAAAAACCAAGAAAGTTAGTCCTCTTTCAAATTTCCAAACTCTTTGGCGACATTTCTTTGTGTCTGATTCTCTGTAGGAAAAAGAGCGCCCTATTTTGTTTGTGTCTGATTCTCTGTAGGAAAAAGAGCGCCCTATTTTGTTTGTGTGTCATTCGATGGGAGGTCTTGTTGCTCGCCAGGTAAGTGTCGCCTTATCTGCCGCCACAACTGCAGCTGCTAAGTACCAGTCACCTAGGCAATGGTAGAGTTAGATAAATACGGAAGCCAACCGGAATATGGTGGGATTATTCCTGCAAAATGTGCTCTGCTGTTCTTGAGCACCCCTCATTCTGGCTCACTCGAAGCTGACTGGAATGACTTCCTGACTGACATCGCCCAACTAACTATGGGTGTGCGAAAAGAAATCGTGAAGACACTTGGGAGTTTTAACCCCATGTCAACTGAGAGTCAGAGAGAATTTATGAACATGAACATCATACCCCCATTTGACGCGTTTTTCGAGACTCGGGTGACTTCTGTTGCCAGGATTATTCACCGACAGGTACGTGGGTCAAACTTCGCTCAAATGAATCCAGTACTGATTCTAGCAAAGATTGTTACACAGCAGTCTGCCAGCCTGTCAAATTGTACAGCGAAGGGAATGCCAGATGTTGATCACAACACAATATGCAAATTTGAGTCAAAATTTGGAGGGTTTGAACAAGTGGTGGATAAGCTGAGGTACCTAAAAAGCATTTTGGATGGAAAGTCTAATAACTTTGCAATTAAAATCGATGCATAAAGCCCTAAGCTCTTGAAATGATATTCACGTTGCCTACAACGCTGACAATATTGATCAAGAAACCATGGGATTCCCCACCCATTGCATCCAACTCATTCCTACCCGTCGGTAAAAAGTTCTTCGAAGGCAAGGGCTTGAAGCGAAACCCAAAAACGCAAGGTCGGCAAGTAGATATGAATAATCTTGCCGATTCTGTTGAGAAATTAGATAGGAATGATTACTCATCTCTTGTAATGACAGGCATAGGGGGTATTGGGTAAGCTTTAGCCTTCATTAAGAACCAACAGTCAAACTAAAAATTATTCAGGAAGACGACGGCTGTACTAGAAATCGCTCGTAAAAATAAAGACCGACGTAATATATTTTTCGTGCACGCCACCGATGGAGAGTCATTGAGAAAGGCATATCTTGATCTTGCAATGCAAATAGGCCATGAGTATTTGCTTAAAGACTACCAAGGCCGAGATCTGTATAACATTTGGAGGAACAACACTTCCGATGAAAAGATTGAAAGATTCAAGAAATGGTTGGGTGACGAAGAGAATGAAAGTGCCCTGCTCATTCTTGACGATATTGACGGGATGAAAGACTTTGGTCGAAATCCTTTCGCTGACATCCCTGAACAAGCAAGGAACATCTTGTTGACAACAAGGAATCCCAATATCCGTCTACGAGACGACTGCAAGACTATCAAGTTGAATGACATGAAGATTGATGATATTGTGACTATCTTGAAAGAGGTCCGATTGTTGGAAGATGAAGACACACAAGACTTTCTCGACCTAAATAATTATGATGTCTTACTCTCTATTGCTAAAGCAGTTCATGCACATCCACTTGCTGCCTGTATAGCCATGAAATATATCATCCAGGTTCAGTCTCTTGACGATTACATGTCCGCTGGCCAGGATTTTGTTTCCATGCTTTCTGGCCCAGACCACAAAGCACGATTGACATTTCTGCAATACAAGCCACAAATACCCTCTATTATGGAAACATTTATCGTATCCAAGGAGCGCCTATCTCATCCTCAAGGTCCGGCTTGGTCATTGATGGAAGTGCTCAATCTTCTTGAAACGGATGAATCCATTGTTGACTTCAAGAAATTCTTCGGATTCTCAAACATTGAGAATATAGAAGAATTTCCAGACGTTGATATTCTTGGTTTGCGGAAAGAGGGCATAATGCCTTTATTGCATCAGATTGAAGAAGTTTCTTTTATGGAAAGAACCAGGCGTTCGAAGCCTCTTTGTATCCATCCTCTCTGGGCCGAATGCACTCGCCAATTGATGGGAATACACCGCATGATAAGTTTGATGAGACAAGTTTTGACAATCTTTTATTACTCGACAACTGCGGTTTCTGGCGATACTGACGGAGGAGAAAGTATGAGTTGTCACTACTATCCACACATCAAGCATTGTATGAAGATTTGCGGGAGTTTTGGCATCAGTGTATCGAGCTTGAAAATGCAGAAGGAGATTGACATGCTAGTTCATAGATTGTCGACTCGACGTTGAAGATAGCTATAGGGATACTCTAACTTTCATACTTATCTTTCTCGTCTGAAGCTTATTTTGAAATTAAGAAGTCAGGAAATTTGGGGAAAGAGGGGACAAATACCACTATCGCTTGAATGAATTTATTCCGTATTTTCTTGTTATTTTCAGGAAATTGTAGCCTGAGAACTGCCATACTAACGTAAGGGATAGCCTTGCTATGATATCGTTCCCACTATTCGCCCTGCGGCGATGACAGTCAAAATAAATGAGTCCAGTGATGAGAAGTGACAGGGTAATCTTGCTGCATGCTGTGGGACAAAATAACATCGGCGCCAATAAACCGTTCGACATGAAAACTAGCATATTACGAATGCTCACCCGTAGATGTTCTTGTAAGGAAATAGCTGCTCTTCTCTTGGTTGATGAGACTTCGTCAGAATGATTTGAGTGGTGTTTATAGATTTACATGCGACGAGATGAGAACTGGGGAATCATTGCGAACAGATTAACGCTAAAAGATCTGCACTAATCCAAAAATAGCAAAGCTTCCATATCTACATTTAACCTCACAATTTCCCATGTGACAGCCATAATTTCATACGACACCCCTCATTATCCCAACGAGCGACTCTACGATGCCTTCGGACTCTCTTTTAATAACACCTACATAATAGCGATTAATACATAAGCTCTAGCAGAAGCATTTCACTCGCTCCAAAATGTCCGCATCTCCCACGGGCGAGTCCTCAGCCAATACCAACTCCGCGAATGGTATCAATCCAGCCGATGAGAAACCACGGTTATCGGAACATGAGAAGAAGGCTAATCATATTGCTTCTGGTATGCAATTCTATAGTTCTTTCTTCTTGGGCGCCTATTGCAATATATTTGCCAATCTCATGTACCGCAGCTAATGAACATTCGTGTTCGTAGAACAGAAACGTCGTCTAGCAATCCGCGAAGGCTTTGATCGATTGGCAGAATTGGTTCCTGGATTGGAAGGTCAAGGAAGAAGCGAGAGTGTAGTTTTGAAGAAGACTGTGGATTATATACGGATACAATTAGAAGAAAGGCGCATGCTGGTTGAAGAGGCTGAGGGTTTGGGAGTCGTTATTGAAGAATTGAAGAGGGAAGCACCTGAAGCGGGAACTGCAGGATTAGCCAGTCGTGGGGCAGCATGGGGAGATGGAAGTGGTTAATATGAGAAATGAGTGTGGATCCGGGTATGGGCATTGGTACGGGGCATTTCAGATTGGCGTTGGCGCGTGGGGAAATACTTATGGCTTACATGGTCGGCGTTCTATTGTTGAGGATTGGCGGCACGATACCTTCTGGGAGAATATCCGGAGGTGATAGGGGACGACGAAACATGTCAACCTTTGAGACATAACGACGAATGAATTGTCCGGTGATAATCAGTACACGGTATTATTAAACTGGTTGATGGGCGGTGGGATAGAGTGGAATAAATGGTTAAATCCCCAATAGATCCATTGCTGTCGTCGTGCTTTGGGCGATAACACAATATTTTTATATACGAATGGCGGTCTAGATTTTATGGTGCTAAGTTTGGCCTTCGCAACCTGCCCCTCGAATCTTTCTTATACTAAAAGATACTACATAGTATTTATCGAACGGGATTTATCATGCCACTATTGAATATCTAATTTTCAGGGACAAACGCTTCTAAACTTACTATCCAATTGGTATCGTGACATAGCTGACTGCAAATCCAAGTATCGTAGCGCGGACATCGCGCTCATTCAGGTAAACCTACGTCAAAAAGCAATTTGAAGACGCCGGCAATACAAGTCATGGCTTTATTCAAGACAGATGAGATTGAATCTCGAGTATTTGGCGTTATGATCTACCAACTAAATCAACATATTGACAAGTAACAGAATCTAAGTCCCATACCTACTAATAGCTAGGCATGTAAGCAAACCTCGATCACTTCACTACTCATCGGCAATTGTTTAAGATTCTCGGCCTACAATTAGTGTGAAAGCATCGCTGGATTGGCACTCATTGGTATCATGGGCACAATCTTCGTATGAACTTTGAGATGAAATAGACTGTCTTTAACAAAGAGACGTGTGTGCATTAAAGAGTACAACGTTAAATATACAGAGCATGTTCACGATATGCAGATCAAAACAAACTTGAAGACTTCATGTATCATCCAGAAGAATCTCTACAGCGCAGTCCAAAACAATACGCATAATGCCAATCGCGGGCCCAAGCCCAAGTCCAATGGAAACACTTCTCATCAACTCATCCTCCGACCTCACCTCCTTTTCCTCCAACCCAAGCACCCCTACTTTGTGGTAAAATTCACCTATTCCAAAGTATTTGTCCGCCTCTCTATTCGCAACTGGGTGGTAAACATTAGGACAATGACAAGAAGTCTATATCCACAAAAAATGACGTGAGTGAGGAGGCCCTTTTGGATTTGTTGGTGTGGGTTGGCAAGCATTGAAATATAATTTGATATACCCAATGGTAAGTAGTAAGACATGAAGATACACATTTGAGGGCTAAAAATCCGAGGGGGAGAAACAGACAATCTGAAGAGTCAATCTATCGCACCAAGTGCTAGCAACAACTTAGCAATAAGGAATACAAGCCAAACCATAAACTTTCAACATCATTTCAAGATTCAAATTCATATTGTTCGTTTCCATTCGTATGCCTTATGAGTACAATCCTAATTACAACCCCATCCAAACACCCACACCATTTTTAATGTCCCACACCACCCGCCACCCATTCATTGAAATTTGCATCACCGGGCTGTGGAAACAGTCCTCCATTTTGGACCTCTCCGTTCGCTTGTTGTTGTTGTTGCGCATTCGCAGGTGCTTCACCTCTTCGATGCGCCTCCTGTCTCTGTTGTCTATATACTATCAAGAACACTAGTGCAGCTGCTAAGCCAATAATAATAAGACTTTCTACCAAACCATCATCAAGGATGTCATCATAAAGTCCATCCGCATCGCCGCCTGGCATAGGGTCATGGACAGAACCATAAGCATCTTCTGCGTCGTAATCGGCATAGTATGGATGATCATCTTGCAGGAAATTGCTAACCCATTCCGCTAGAGACCATTGCTTTTTAGGAGCTATTGATATATTAGAGAGTCTGCTCGCTTCCTCTAAATTGTGGATAACTTACTTGGTTCGTCAATGATAGAATTTATTTTGCCATGTGTGAATGAATTCCATGCACTTCTGATGCGTAGTTTTAACAAACTAAGGGTTACAGGTAGATATGCCTCTTCATTCGTCTCCAAAGCGTGATCATAATATCTCTTTGCGAGATGGAAATCTTGATCAAGACCGACACCATTTTCATGCATCCAGCCTAGATTGTATAATGCTTGAGCACTTTGAGGAAATTCAGATGCGGATGTATAACAAGCTGCAGCCTTCTCCAAATCTACCGGTGTGCCGATGCCATTGAGGTAATAATCACCCATTTTAACTAGAGCGTCTGTATTTGATTGCTTAGAAGCTCTAGTCCAATAAAGCAGTGCAAGTGCCGCATTCTGTAATATTTTAGGTCGAGTCGTGGATACAAGAGCTAGCCAGGACGGTATGGTCAATTTCGACTTTTGTTCATCAAGGATATATGCAACATTGGATTGCCCTTTTTCGTATCCTTGTTCAGCTGCATGCATATAGCCAATCAAAGCCAATTCGAGATCACCTTGATCATATGCATTATTTGCTTCCGCGAAGGACGTCAGAAGTGGTTCTGCCTTCTCTGCAACATTCTTGTAGTATGCAGTTGCCAAACTACAACTTCGTTCCCGGCCAACTCCCTGATCAATCAGTTCGGCGAGATAGTAATAAGCTTCAATATTACCATATCGTGCAGCTAGTTCGAAATATCGATTGGCAACCTTGATATCATTATCAGTACCTTGATCTAGATACATAGCTCCCAGGTTGACTTGAGCAGGCGCGTAGTCTTGGTCGGCAGAGGCTTTGAAGTATTGCTGTGCTAGTACGGAATTTTTGGGTACTCCTAGGCCATGAAAATACATCAACCCCATTCCATATTGAGAACCAGCATCTCCATTTTTGATGCCGCGTTCGAACCAAGTCTGGGCTTTTTCGTAGCTCTGATCCACACTCTCCCCCCTGAGATACATTCGTCCTAAATAGCCTGCGGATTTGGCAGCAATTTTGTCCAGTTGCGGTTTATCATTTTCGATAATCTTTCCATTCCTCGTCCAATATAATTTGGCAACCTTCGTGAAATACCATTTTGCACTCTTCAAATTTCGTGGAAGTCCCTTTTGGCCATCGTAATGAATGCGTCCGAGGCTGAAAGTGGCCTTGAAGTCGCCTTTTCTAGACATCAAATCGAGATATTCTAGAACATCATCAAGTGCGGCGTGGGCATCTGAACTTGGTCCTCCACCCTTCGCATTTTGTCCAGCGCTACTAAAACTTGCTCCTTCACCATAGACTCCGCCATCGTCATCTGCAAGTTGATAAGAATCCTGAACATATGCCATACCTCCTGGTGGTCCTGATCGATGCCATTCGATTGCTTTATCCGCCACTTTCTTGTAATATTTAATTCCTAAATCGCAGTTTCTTGACATACCGATGCCACTATGATGTCTATAAGCAAGAGTCATCGCAGATCTCATACTTCCTCCTTCAGCGGCGAATGTATGGTATAGCAAAGATTTTGCTTGGTCCTGCGCAACAGCTCCTCCAATTCCCGTTGCATACATAAATCCAATCATGTGTTGTGCCGAACTGTTTCCATCCAACAATGCCAATTGATGATACCTCCTGAATGCCTCGCTATAGTCTTTGGGATATGAGTAATTTCCGTAGAAGTTAATTTGTGCCAGGAGATAGATAGCATCGGAGTTATTGACATGAGCTGCCTGTTCCAAAAGTTGCACTGCTTCTGCGACTGGGCCTGGAGCTTGATTATGCGCCGGACTCTTTCCATCCGGTGGGGATCCTTGAGTCAATTTGGGAAGACTTGCAACGACATACTGCGACAAAGTTTTGACAATTCCGGAAGGATTGGAGGTGGAACGTGGATGTGATCGTTCGTAACGTTGAAGGGAATGTAAAGCTTTGTCGACTAACTCATTTTCTTATACTACGTTAGCAAACATCGAATCCCAAGTCTCATAAACTTGGTGCTTACCAGCTGTATTCCTTATTGGTGGCGCTCGATGTGATTCTTGAGCTGCAGAAGGTTGAGCTTGAATAGATGGCTTTGGACTCCCTTCTGCCGTGAGAGACGTCCCTAGCTCTTCTTCCTGAGCCTGCGCATAACATATTGGAAAAATAAAGTGCCATAAAACTACAACGGCACAAAGTCAGCATTTTTTGAGCTCTCAGTAGATTGTTCGAAACCTTACGGATGAATAATGGCAGTATAACCCGCTGGCTCGGGCTCTTCATCTTGTCAGAACCTCTCCGTGAAAACTTTTACTTCGAGTTTGAAGTAGTAAAAGAAAATATGGTCATGATTCCATGATAGTGACCAATAATCAGGATGAAGAGGCCAATTGTATAGATTGGCGGGGCTTTGTAATGTTGGGTTGCTATCTCAAAGCTGTCATCTTCGGCAATCCGCGCCAGGAAGCTCCGACCAAAGAAGCTCGGAAACCATGATTAACGATCACGTCAAAATTTAACGCAAGAGTTGAAATATTATGCTGGACAAACACATTACATATTGTTCATTTATGGCAAAATTACGATCAATATATAAATTGGTTTTTACATTTGTTTGAAAGTTATGAATGCTAGTGCCTTGTAGCTGCTATATTTTCGGAGATCAGTTCTCGCCCCTCCATGATTTGATTTGTCCATCTTCACCAGCAGTCAATACTGCTCTATGCTACAGATCGGAAATTGTCAGCTTGTATACGGATCACTCGAGCTAAAGACTATGAAAGGAGAACATACTGAATCAAGGAAGCAAAATGATCTGACGATCTCTGATCCATGAGCACCATCAAGTGTAACCTTCGTCTCAGGAGCAAATACCCAAGGCTTTCCCTTTTTCAATTGTATCAAATCGAAATCATTCTTGCTATGACGTCCGGTCCCCAATACAGCTCCTCCATCTGGTCTGCATAGAACGTTTGCTACATACTCACCTCCAAGGTTTTCTCTCATATCGCCATACACCACTGGAGCTGGCTCTTCAACCCCTTCTTCTGGGTTTGTTACTAGCTCGTACATGGAGAATTTTTCATCATGTGAAAGAGCAAAGATATCGGTTTCGCTCAGGAAGTTGGCGTGATGTATTGAATGACCATGGTTGATTGTCTGGTGGAGGGCTTCTTCCTCTTCTGATATGGTGATATTATATATATTGACGAGACCATCCGTAGAACCAGACAATAGAAGTGATTGCTGAGTTGGATGGAATTGTAGCTGGAAGAAAAATCAGCAACTGTACCCACAATCTGGTGTGATTGTAGCAAACCTCTGTAACATCGTCACTGTGACTTTCCACGTACTGTACGACTGGAGCAGCTAAAGATCGTGCGTCCCTACTTCTATCAGTCTAATGAACATTTCGTGTAGTGAAAGCAGGAAACACCTACCAAATCGAAACAGTTGCTTGGTGATTTGTTAATTCCGTTCCAGCAGCGATGCCGTTTGTATTTGAGCATGCTAAAGATAGAACTGGAGCGCCTTGGTCTATTTGATCGTCAGAATATTTTCCATTAATATCTGGACTTCTGTGAACAATAAGGCCACCCAGAATACGTATAATGTAGACAATTGTTCGTAATATTCACGATCCCCCTCAGGTGCCGAGTCAGATTCTACCTCCTCACTTGAGAAGACCATCCCCTCCACCCAGCCACGTGAAAATACCTTGAGAAAAATGATCTCACCACTCTGAACCTCTCCGACCTTTGCAGCAGTCCTTGGGTCAATCAGACACACTTTACCATCCCTTCCAGCCGTGACCACAATAGAACTATCACCATTTCCGATAGTCTTCAGGCATGTAACATCTGTATTGACTTTCTTGATAGTATTCAGTGGTTGTCCGTTCAGAGCCGTTGGGTCCAGCAACCGCAGACAATCATCTGATGAAATGGATGCGAGTCCAGCTGCGACTGGCACAATATCATAGATATATATTGGCTCTGCACCTTTGACTTCGAAAATATCTGAGGCGAAGAATCTATACATTGTGAAGCACGAATAAATGTAATGTTTTGGTTGTACCTGGGAGAGAAAAGTTTTTAGGAAAATATATTTCAGCCCTCGCCGACGAATAGTCAATCTGGATAATCAGGACTTTTCGTCCCAAACTGAAAGTCTTTAGAATTTACAATTTCGAAATGCCATTCGATGTTTTCACAGCCAAGGGAAGAAATTTGATATTGATTTATTAACATCACGTGATCTATCGAATTTTGGTATTTAGGTAGGTAATTTGATTGAGAATTCCCAACGATCATCCTGTCTCCATGTATATTGCTGCCTCGTTCCACTGTTCGGATTCCAAAACTCATCGTATATTTGCTACAGTGGCGCATCTTAGTCTTATTTTCTAGTAGGTCGAATCAAAAGTATCGACCATTGTCAGTTATTATATCTCCTTCCGTAGAATTGCCCATTGACTTTATTTACAAGCTCTGCTTGTTGACAACATCTTAGCTGTACTTATCGTGCTTGTTCTTCACCTTGATCAAGAGTAATGCCTCATGGTAATCGCCTTCTTTCCTTGCTCTCTTGAGTTTCCGTACCTCATCATCATCCAGTCTTCGGCCAACGGCATCTTCTAACTCCTTCCTGCTTATTTTCTGACTGGCTCTTTCTTCTTTGGAAGCCTTCAACTTTGGTTTGAATCTTGCTTGCATTCTAATTCGTAAAGTAGTATTGAAATTGATTGAATCAGCATCTCCTCGGATCTCTGGTAAAGCATTTTCCTTTGCGGATGCAAGTGGCTTTATCGTCAAGAATGTTTCTCGCAGTGTTTGTATTTGAAATGTACCTGGAGTATCGGCTGTTGGGATCGATATGAAGGATTCCAAGGGCGACACAGCTTCGGTATTGGCTGATAGAATTCCGAATTTATCGCAACTCAAATACCTGAAGATTGATCAGCATTGCAATATTACAGCAGAGCAATTGCTATACACACTTTCCATGGTGGCCTTTGAAACTATAAGTCTCCGTACCTGCTACTTTGTTGGCAACCCATACTTGTCTTACATCGTGAGGTTCGGCAGTGGTGGGATTGTTCTCGATCATATTCTCCAGCGCACTTGCAAATACCTTTCCATTTGTATCGCAGGCTATACATGATGGTGGATCTGAAGGTAAAACAAATACCACCGGTCCAACTACATCAGCTGCAGCTTCTGCCGTCACCCAGGTATCATCATCTGGCGCGGCGTCTTCTTCCTGGGGTTTGGCAATTGCTTGGGAGGTTGACGCTTCTGAATCTCCAAACTTCTCAGCGGCATCAACGCGCTTTCTTTTCTTCGTTTTCTTATCACCTTTGAAGGACAATGGTTTGACCATATTTCTTGTGTTGAGATTTTGTATTCACTTACAATTGAAGAGCTGCTTACCCGTGGGGTTGTAAACAAGCAAATGACGGAGGTTCGCGATATTCGGGCGTTGCCGAATTCGGTTAATTATCGGCAAGATATCACAGCAGGTTCCCCTCCTGCCTATTCTAACTGTACGGCATCACCTTAAATAATAAAACCTGAAGCACATCCACTTTCAAATTTTCTTTCAAACTCCGGATATCTTAAAGCTACATCTGTGATTGTCCTGATCAATATGGCGCCTTCCCCGGTGACAGTAAGTCTAAAAGATTTACAAAGTGGTAAGTCTCAACGTGATGTAAATTTGTCCTGCCTCAGCTGATCTGATGTTACAGGCAATGTTGCTTTCTCAACACTCGAAGAAGCTTTTGGCCCAGAGTCTTTAGGCGTTATACTTGTCAAAGATGTTCCAGAGTCATTTGTAGAGTTAAGACATAGTCTACTCTCATATTCGTCTTATCTTGGAAACTTGCCCGAAGCCAGACTAGGTCAGTGTCATAATTACATTTAGAGGCAATGAAAAGGTCTAATTTCTAGCAGAGAAAATCGAAAACGCGGCTGCAAAATATCTTACTGGCTGGTCTCGTGGTAAAGAAACTCTAAAAAATGGCCAAGTGGACACACTCAAAGGATCATACTATGCGAATTGTGCCTTTTACGTCGACCCATCTTTAGCATGTGCGATTCCTACTTCTGACTTTTCACCTGAAAATTTTCCCGAATATCTCAGTCCAAATTTATGGCCTGGAGAAAACGTATTGCCTGGTTTTAGGGACACATTTGAGAGATTGTGTCGAATCATTATTGACACCGGAGTATTGGTCGCTCGAGCTTGTGACAGATATGCAGAGAAGGAAATTCCAGACTACAAGCCTGGATACCTTGAGCACGTGGTAAAAACTTCAACAACAACTAAAGCACGATTGCTACATTATTTCCCAGCAGAAGCCAAGGACTCTTCTGACGCTCTGGACGATGATTGGTGCGCAACACATCTGGATCATGGCTGTTTAACTGGACTCACATCGGCTATGTTCATCAACGAGACTCGCAATCCACCCGTGATTCCAGTATCCTACTCATATCGTCCAACTACCCTTAGCCCTCTTAAAGAGCTTCCTGCATCTCCGGATCCAACTGCAGGGCTTTACATTCAATCTCGAAGTGGCGAATCTGTTCAAGTTAAAATTCCCAAAGACTGTATCGCTTTCCAAACGGGAGAGGCCCTCGAAAGAATTACTAAAGGTAAATTCAAGGCAGTTCCTCACTACGTGAGAGGTGTTCGACCAGGAATTGCAGATGGCGAAAACGAAGGAGGAAGAATTGCAAGAAATACTATTGCCGTCTTTACTCAACCTAATTTAGACGAGATTGTAGACTCAGAGATGGGCATTACTTTTGGAGAGTTCGCGAGAGGAGTAGTTGAGAAAAATACAACGAAGTAAGGGTTATTTTGACAGATTATTCACGACTTCATACGGAATACCCAATACAATTTCGTTTTCATCTAAAAATATTTTTATTATGCTCAATGGTTTAGCGAGGGGGTATTGGGGGAACTATCGAGGTGGCGAAGCGCAGAACTTTCCAGTATCTCAGCCCAAAGGGCCCCCCATTTGCACCCCATTCTATTTTATCGGATTGAAATTTTTCCGTCCGAGTGAAAACAACAATTACATCCAAAGATGGACAGCGGGTACATAGGTATCGGAAAGACTTCCCATAACTGGGATCTCCATTTTATTCGGGTGGCAATAACTCCTAGACTATTACTCGTATCTCAAGGTACGTCCTGGAAGCTAATTGGTCTATAATGTATTTCTTTAACTTGTCGAACAATCCAGAACCAAACTTTTCTGGTGCCTAGTTCCTGGAGTCGTCGTTTCTGCTAAAGTTCGTCCGGTGCTTAATGGTAGTGGCTGTCGCACCATCGAGGGGCCCCACCATTTCCACCATTAGCAATATTCTTACTTGTCTCTTAAGGCCTTGAATTGGCCCCAATCTTTTCTTTAACAGGAGCTCGATCTTTCAAATCGATAAAATGAAAGGGTTGCTGGAAAGGTTACATCGTGTTCATCAACCTTTTTACCTGCCCGGTTGTCTTTCTGTGAAGCCCCTTTCAATCGACCGAAATAGTGCACAGCCACCATGCAAGCCACCTTATATTTTAGTGACAATAGGTATCGTATAAACCCCATAATTTGAGCTTCGACGGCAACATCATTTCTTAGGTAGCTTTGACCCCCTCGGCTTCCAAAAGTTTGTCAAGAACATGCCTCGAGCGTGCGTATTATGTGCATTAGATAGACTTTTTCTTTTGACCTTGTCATCACTCGTGAGGGTGTCACTTTCATAACTTCTTAACCTCTTTTGGATCACTAGTGTAGTCAGTTTTTCATACAGATTAGGCTTTTTGTTTTTGAGTTGTTATTTCTCAAAGTTAGAAATCGAGTTGATTTAAGTTAGACAAAAATGTGAACATCGGGGAAAATGAAAAGTGGAATGTTGTCCTATACGTGGTGAGACGGTTCCAGAGCAAAGCAAAAAGTCTCTGTTGTTATGCATGCAATTATGTGGCATGTGCAGTCAACGGTAAAGTCACCGCTAGCAATTATGTAAGATCATAAACCTTTGAGTTGGCATGTTCGCATGGCAGTGATGATCAGAATATCTGATTTGCTTTGTACCGAGAAGTAAGTACTGCAGTACAGTTGTCACTGGTCAGTCTCTCCCGGTATTAATGAATCATGATATCACTAAAAAAGTCCTTTGGTGTCGTGCACCCCCTGACTCTTTTCTCGAAACCTCAGCTGCAGGGCCCTTGGCAATAGGTTCCCGCCAACTTTGACCAACAACAAATAATTATCCATGTTAGTAATAAATGCTATGGAGTACAATATTACTGGTCGGTTGCTCTGATCCCCTGACCAGTTACCACTCGCTCGGCCCCATACACCCCTACGCGAAATGCAGATCCCCCAGCTCTACAACATAATCTTCCTTGTTCGGAGACTTTGGTCAGGCTCACACATACTGTACAACTTTCAAAACCCTCATGCATGATGGATCTTGGCCACCACAAACCGCATAGTACAACGGGGTAACCAATTTATCCAGCATCATTGTTTCGAATGGCCGAGCTATTATCCTCGCCAACATGACAAACGGCTCAGGGACTCGAGTCTATATGATCGCCCATATGATCACGACTCTCTCATTTGCCTTGATTCAATGAAAGCGGATAGGATTTTCACTTTCTGTTTTCTTTTTGACCTGCAAACTTGTCATGAGCTTCGATAGCATCTAAACACTACTCTCAATACAGCAATTAAGTGTTAATCTGCGGGGAGAGTGGACAGGAGCGGCAGTCGTCAAGTTCATCTGATTCATCTCAATATCATTTCTTGTTGTTCGCATACTATTGAAGAGTCTATTGGAGAGTCATTTCCTTCCCTCATTCCCTGACCTATATATCTTCGTCTTTGCTTCGCGGTTTCAGGAATATCCACTTCACGTTCCTTTAATGAATATCAAATAAACATTCTGCTTTATACATATACATAATGTACTTTACCAATACTGTTGGTACCCTGCTCGTGGCTACCTTAGTAGCTTCGAAGCCAATGTAAGTCTTTACACTTCAGCTTCTATAATCACTCACTAAAGACTATGGCAGTTACCAAAGAGGAGTTGACTTTGCATATGGGTCAACACCCGTTAGAGGAGTTAATATAGGCGGCTGGCTTGTACTTGAACCATGGATTACACGTGAGTAATCGCTTATTGATGTTGACTTGTGGTAAATGATATTGATATTGTAAATAGCGTCGATCTTTCAAGCAGTCGATCAATCCTTGGGAATAGTCGATGAGTAAGTTTATTTCTTTCTTCTATCTATCGATTTGATATTCCAGTGTCACTTTGTCTCATGACTTCACAAATATAGATACTAACAATTAACTCAGGTATACATTAACAGAGAAACTCGGCACAGATGCAGCTCTAGCAATTCTCAAACCTCACGTAAGTTTCGCTGCTCAGAATTTCAGATCACACCTCTTACATCAAACCAGTGGGATTCATGGTGCACTGCCAATGATTTCCAAAACATAGCCAACGCTGGCTTCAACACAGTCCGCATTCCAATAGGATACTGGGCATACGAACTCTCTGACAACGAGCCCTATACCCAAGGCGCAGCTCCATACATGGATGCCGCCATCGACTGGGCTCGTGGCGCTGGTCTTAAAGTTTGGATCGATCTTCACGGAGCTCCCCTTTCCCAAAACGGATTCGACAACTCTGGACACAAGACTTCGTCGCCGGCATTCGGACAGGGTGACTCGGTCGCAAAAACACTTTCTGTTCTAAACACTATTACCGAAAAATATGCCAAGAAAGAGTACCAAGATGTTGTCGTTGGTATTGAATTACTCAACGAGCCAGCAAATTGGGATGTCAATTTCGATGTCTTGGAACAATTCTATAGAGATGGATATGGGCAAGTCCGCGCTGTTTCCGATAGTATTGTGGTAATTCACGATGCGTTCTTGGCACCAAGTAACTGGAACAACATCCTGTCATCGAATGATAACAGTGCTTATGGAGGTATGTCTATTCTCCCTTCATCTTCCACACACCCGTACACACAATTCTAACACTCCCAGTCGTCGTCGACCACCACGAATACCAAGTCTTCAGCGACTCCCTCGTTGCCATGTCCGCCACCGAACACATCGACTACGTCTGCAGCAACGCCGGCGCCTACACCGGCGCCGACAAATGGGTCGTGGTCGGTGAATTCACCGCCGCCATGACCGATTGTGCCTATGCGCTCAACGGCTACGGCGTCGGTGCCCGCTACGACGGCACATATCCCGGTTCCTCATACGTCGGTTCCTGCGAAGGCAAATCGGATATCACGACGTGGAGCGACGCCTTCAAAACGGATATGAAGAATTATTTGAGCGCGCAGTTGGCGAGCTATGAGACGAAGGCGAATGGATGGATTTTTTGGAATTTTAAGACGGAGGGTGCGCATGAGTGGGATGCGGCGAAGTTGGTGGAGTATGGAATTTTTCCGGATTTGAGGGCGGGGATTCCGGCGGCGATTTGTTCGTAGGGATTTACTTGGAGCGATGCGTGTTTGAGGGAGGGGGGATGAGGAGAAATTTGTAAAGTTAAGTACATATACCCAGAGACTTGGCGATAAACAAAAGTCTGTACAGTTATGATATACAAAGGAGATGGTTTATTTTTTCGTTAATTCATTCGTTAATTTATTTATTTATTTATTATTCATTGTTTGACTACGTACGGATCCATCTAAAATATCGAATGGTGTTACTAGTATGTAGCAGTGCAGCGGTGAAACAAAACATCGTTGAAAGAAAAGAAGGTTCATGTACATTTCCTCCACCCATATCATATCGAAGAAAAGATTCTCGACGATTCATTCATTCATCCATGTACGCCATGCTTGGTATCCATTGCTCCTGAGTCTCCCTGGGTCTACCTGAGTCTAATATCCAGATCGCTTGTTGTTTTCTTTTATAAACCGAAACGCCTGCAAAAATACATTCGTGTGAAAAACGGGCAAGAGAAGTGAGATTTCGTGATCATATGGGTCGTGGGTCGTAGGTCGTGATTCGTATCTGATCCTTAGATGTCCTCCCAGGTTGACTTCGTGATACCATGGCAGAGAAAAAAGGGTACGTAAAGTCGTAAAGTCGTAAAGTTTTCATTCGTAGGAGAAGAAAAGAAAAGGTAAGATTACAATAAACAAAAGAGTGGCGAGTGATTTGTCGTGCGGGCAGAAAAGTGACGAAGCGAGGATGTGGTGTTGAAAAGGGGGTAGAAAAGAAGAGTAAGTGTGAAGCAGGAAGCGATAAAGTATGTATCTTTGCTTTGGTTTGGTGTTGAAATTCTTTATCCTGGTGGTGTTGAGCATCCAAAGGGTATGTGTATGGAAAGGATTGAAAGCGAGATGTCGAGAAGGTAAGCGATAGGAATTGGGAGATGGAGAAAAGTCGTTAGTCCTCTTTGATTGAATGTCAAAAGATTCCCTCCATCAAATTCTCTTCCAACTTCCAAAAATATCACAGCAACCCACCCTCCTTCCCAACCTCCCTAACGTCCCCCGTCTCCAAAAACCCCCTTCCCATTCACATGCGCCGGAACGGGCCAAAACTTTCCATAATCATGATACCCACCATCATCACTCCTCAACAAAAACGCATCATTCCGATTATGATTAACCCCAATACTATAGATCAGATTATTCAACCAACCCTTCGCATCTCGAAGTCGATATCTGCATTTTTCGCACAGCGTCAAGGGACAGCCGTCGCAGAGGAAAACGGAGGGTGCGGGACAAATCATGCAGGATTTGGAGATGGGACGGTGCGGAAGACGATTCATGTGGGTGTGGTGATCATGTGTTTTTTCTCTGGGAGTGGGAGTGGGAGTAGGGATGGTAGATGTAGTGAGAGTAGGTGTAGGGAGGAGAACAGAGGAGTTGGAGGTGGAGGTGCTGTGCGTGCTGAGCCAGCCGGATGTGTCCCAAGAGAAATCGTCGTTGCCGAACATGGAGTCCATGGAGCTGTTGAGGATGGAGTTCATGTCGCAGTAGAGATCGGAGTCGAGGTCGAAATCTGTGCTGGTGCTCGTGTGGAGATTGGTGCGTGAGTCGATGATGGAGTTTCGGTGAGAGTTCGTGCTGTCTGTTTGCGTGCTGGTCGGCTGCATACCACTTGAAGTCGTACCTCCAGAGTTTATACCTCCAGAGTTCATACCTCCAGTACTCATACCACCACTGCTCGCTTGCACACCTCCCGCGCTCAACCCAACATTAACAATCGAATTGATCTCCTCCACCGTCATATTCCCCTCACTCAAATCCCTGCCCACATCAAATCTCAAATCAGCCAAACTCCCATCTACAGCCTCCAAACCACTCTCTCCATCTCTCAAACCCGCGCCTGGAACTTGTCCACCATACCCAACTTGCCACTGACCATCCATATTCAACGCCACAATATGCGTAAACTCATCATGACACCCATGATTCACAATCTCCCTCTTCCTCAATTTACAACTTAAACAGATTTTTGTCTTCGACAAGTCGATTTGTCGATACGCGGAGCCGCGACATGTGAGATTGTGCATGAAGGGATTAATCAACATATTATCTATTGGCGAGAGAATTTCAAGCGGATCACCAAAGAAATTCGACTCTTCGGATAAAGGCGCAGAGCGATCGTAGCTTGTCGTCGTAGCAGTAGCTGAACGAGTTGTCTTAGTCGAAGAAGTGGATGATGAACGAACTGGCTTTTTAGGGGTGGGACCGGCACCGGCTGGATCTTTGGCGGGTCGCTTTCCTTTCTGATTATTGTTCTTCTCGGGAATAGAGGCAGCGAGTAAATGTTTTCCGGTTCTTTTACATTCGGCACACCAGTCTCTACCAGCCGGACCCCAGATCTCGACGAAATCATGATTATACCGATCGATTCCCCGCAGATTTGGTGTTCCGGTACAAAAATTGCATTCAAAGTTTTCTCCAACGGTTAACTTGTTTAGAGCTAATGGACGATCATCTAGATCAACGATCTTCTTTGAACGACGATCTGTAGTAAGACAGTCCGGAAGTCGAGGAGGAGGGTTTCCATCAAAAGGCATGGGACTATTGAGGTTATATCCTTGAAGCGAAGAACTAATCCCATCAGCAACGTGATAGAGACGTAAGGGTTCGATGGATTCTTCAGTTAGAGGTTGAAAGTTTTCTAATTGATTGATGCGGTGACGAAACAAGGTGTTCAGGATAGAAACGGGTGGTGAGAAGGGTGGATTATTTCCTTGTATATTTGCTTCATTTTCCATTGCGGCTTGATTCATCATGGCTTCGAATTGATCTGATTGCATGGGAGGGTGAAATTGTTGCGGCAATTGGAGATTATTCTGACCTCTTTGATTCAGCATGTGCTGATGTTGTTGAAAAGCAGGATTGAATTGCATAAGCATATCTCTATTCAAGTTCATCAAATTTGTATTCGAATTCGCATTCAAACTTTCATTTTGCTGTGAGTTAAAGATTGGAGACGGCTCGAAATAACCCGGTGTATTACCCGATACGGCAGGATTTGGAGGGATCGGAACACGCGATGTAGGCCATTGAGCACGAGGTGTAGGTTGATGAAAACTCGGCGGATGTAAAGGATTAATACTTGAAAAGATAGGCGTATCTGGCATTTGCGGAGTGTCTCGATGAAAACTAGCTGAATGTAAAGGATTTGGAGCGATGTCGTCAAAAGAAACCTCAGGAGCTGCTAGTGTGGAGCTGGATCTTGTCGATCTAGCGATTGCATTCACTATTGTTGGTGAGCCTGCGTTGGAGTAATGAATGGCTGACTGAATAGGTGTAGCGGATCTGCGTAAGTCGAGCTCCGACTGAACAGGACGATTGGGGGAGTTCAATACTTGTGAGCCCATATACCCAAGTCCCGATCCCATTGAGTTGTTGGGAGTGTGTTGATGTGTAGCAGTGGCACTACTTTGACGTATAACTTGTTGAGGAGAAGACTGTTGATAAGTGCTTGTAGCTGGTCCAAGTCCAGACGCAAGAGCACCACCCGTTGCTTGACTCGAAGTATTTGGCGCAAAATTCATGTTATATCCATCAGATACACTTGACAGATCCCCGTGGTTGTTTCCAGTAAATGTAATTCCATCCATTGAATGAGTACCAACGTTAGGCAAAGGTGCTTGAGTTGACGACCCAACCATATTTACTCCTGTATTCGCATGAGTTGAAGGTGAGACTCCGATCATGTTTGCTGCTGGAGTGATACCCGCAGCTGAAGTTTCTTGAATCGAAGACTCATTCATATCCGCCGTTAACCACGCATTATGATTTGCAGAACCATATTCTCGAGCGAAATCCCCAATAATATCCGAAGATGACGCATTATCATCTTGAACACCAATGTTATTATATCCATCGTTATTCATTGAATCTCCCTGACTACTAGATTGAGGCATCTGCGTAGTATTTGAAAAGCCAGATCCGAGTGAAGGGTCAATGAGACTCTGTTGGACTGTTGAATGTGATGTTCCTTCGAATGGATTTCCATTGTTCGTAATGTTTTGCTGAGTTGTAGAGTGATTAGCAGGTTGCGTCGATGTTTGGAAAGGGGATCTCAATTGTAATGTTGAAGATCGATCTGGCGTATTGGCCTGTACTGCCGACGACATACCGCCAGCTTGGCTTCCAGTATTCATCACCATCTCTTGCGTGGTAGGATGATTCATAGCTTGCATTTGCATCTGCACCGATGTCCGAAAAGGCGATCTCAACTGAGCAATCGAAGAACGATCTGGCGTATTGACCTGTACTCCCGACGCCAACCCACCATCTCGACTACCACTATCCATCACACCATCCTGCACAGTCGAAGAATTCCCACGTTGCACCCTCACTCTCTCCCTCGCCCCATCCTCAAACCCCTTTCTCATCGCTGCCCCCACCGAAGAAGCCTGCGCAAGCTGCCCACCCATATCCATTCCAAACACCAACTCCCCGGGTTTCGCATTATCCAACGTCTGCATCATCTCCGCGAAATTTGCTTCAAAATCCGGTGCTGCATCTAACGCAGCAGGTCCCGAAAAGGGATTTCTACCTGTCGTCATTGTAGTTTGTTGAATGTTCGAGTTTCCCTGAGTCCCATTTGCTTTCTCAACACTTTCGATCATTTGGGTATAAGCATTTGCGACATTTGACGAAGCCATCCCGGTATGCATATTATCCGATGGGATTTCCTGTCCTTGGCTCGTAGTGCGTCGATGAACTTGGTTTGGGATACTCAAGGGGAAGGGGTTGCGAGGAGGATTATTCGCTTTGACTGCGGCTTTCCATTGCTGTTTATTTGCGTCGGTGTTGATGGGAAATTCGGAATTGATTGTGAGTAATGGTTCTTGTGCGGGAGTTGGTGGTTCGACAAGTGGTGCTTGATTCTTTTCTCTATTACCCTCAGTGCGAGAAAGATTGAGAATTTTGTTGTCGCCGCTGAGATTTTTTACATTCGAATCTGGCGCCGAAGCACCAGTATCCATATTCATCGCTGGTAAGCTCAAAGGATCTCCCATCAAGTTATCAGCAAGCGCATCGGTGTCCCCAACATGTAAATTCGCCATCTTTGCAAGAACTGGTATTTCCCCAGTCCGCGGCGTTTTCCTCTTTAAAAGATCGCTTTGTGAAGTTTCGGTGTTCGCAAATGGTGAATGTGAGTTTGCAAAGTGAGCTAAATCAGCTTTGTTTCCCAAAGCGCGATATGGATGATTCACTCTTGCACGCGACTGTGGCGATGCAATCTTAGATTCAATTTTAGATGCAATCTTAGATCGCGGCGTAGGCGACCTCGGAGATTTTCGATCTTCAATATTGAAAGATGAAGACACAGATGGTGTGCGAATCAACTGACCAGCTGCATATCCCAAAACCAATTGCGAAGGTGAAGTGAGTGATGAGACGGCTGATCCTTGTGATGGAGAGGTACCGATATTTGCGGTAGAAAAGGAGAGAGGTCTTGCTTTCTTACGGGGTTTGCGTGGAGCGCTATTTGAAGCCATCTTTTGTTGATTGTAAGATCGAAGACGATGATGAGGTTGCGACGATGAGCTGTCTCGAGAAAAGACATATTTATTTAGGCGAGTTTTGAGAACTATTTAGTTCTTTTTTAGCTTGTTATTAGTGGGAACTCGTTTCGAGAATCCAATGGAGGACTATCATCTTATTCTGTTTCAAAAACTGTCTAAAATCTAAAGCTGAAAGAAATGCATTTAGATATTGTCTGATCTGTTGAGAGGTTCACACTTCATCCAACTTGGATAAAGGTGTTGTTTGTTCACCATTATATGTCTTGTAGACTAAGCCTTGAAGTCTCTGATGATTGAACAAGGAATTCAGACATGGAGCAAGCTTTTTTCGATGGACTTAAAACTATTAGTAAAAATAGTATGAGATATGATGGGATGGATTATATTGATATACCTATTCTTCACATCTAAAAGATCCTCCTCCCATCTCCCATCTCCCATCTCCCATCACCCATCACCCATCACCCATCACTCATCACCCATCACCACCAAACACAAACATATTCAAGTGAACTCCCTATCTTCAAATCACCTAGAATACACAACCAACCATCAAATAATAGAATAGAACAAATCATCTTCACATACCTACCTCATCAACAAGAGATGCTCCTATACCCAACTACCACTATAAAACTCCATGTGTATACATATATATACATTCAGATAGACTACACCCACTAGACCATCTCCCATCTCCCAACCCCAAACAAAGCAAAACAACAATCGAAGTGAACTTTCTTTCTTTAAAGTTCAAATCAGCTTGAACCTACAGTACACAACAGACAACCACAACAACCAAACCCCAACCCTCACAACAAAGTTAAACAAAAAACAACATATATTTCATTCCATTCCAATTAATAGCATAGAATTGACTTCCAGTTTCTCATTCCCGTCATAGCCTATTCTATCTTACATATCCTATCCCCGGGTATCAAATATCAAGTATGAAGTATCAAGTAACATAACCATCTCCTTCGCAAATCTTAATCTTAATCTCAATCTCAATCTCACTCCAATCTCACCAATCCTGCCAACCCACCAACCCAAAAATACCCATCTCTTCTCCCCTCCTTCCATCCCTTATCCCGAAGACCCACCCGATCCCCTCAAACTCTCTTCAATAGCCTGTTTCAACGCCTCCTCATCCGCCCTACTATTTTCTACCTCTCTTTTCTTCTTTTCCTCTACCGCTCTCTCCGCTTCTTTTCTTTCTTTTCCCTCTCGTTCCTTCCTATGTTCTTCTTCTTGTAAACTCTGTTTCTTGATATACTCCAACACAATTTCTTCTTCCGTCATACCACCAGCTCCTCCACTCTTCTCAGTTTCTTTTCTTTCAGACGGGAGAGATTTCTCATGATCTTCCCTCGATTCTCTCAATACCCTCTTTAAATCCTCATCATCTTCACTCTCCTCACTTCTCATATCTATAAATCTACCTCCACTTATACTTTCCCCTTTGTTTTCACCACTACCCCCACCTCTCTCCCTCGCCCCATCAATCGTATAACCCCTCAAACTCTCCTGAATCGCCTTCGCAAGTTGCTCATCATGTTCTATATCATCCTTTTCTCCATTACCCCTACTACCCTGCTCCTGACTAGCCACAACACTAGCTTTAATCGCACGATCCATAACCTCCTGATGGCTCAACCCCGCTCTCTGACCACCTTGTAGTTCCGCAACACTAGCTCTTATAGCCCGCTCAATCATAACATCTTCTTCTATATTACCACGTGAAGTAGCGGCTACTGATGCTTGAATTGCTTCCTCAAAGTCAGATTGAACATTACTGGTATGCCCGGTTGGTGAATTCACATTGATAAGTGGGGACTCTCGAATTTCATCAGATGTGTGAGTATGAGCTGTTGTTCTTCGACAAAGTCCCATTGGGCAATGATGGCGTAGACCATGGCCTCCTTGCCTACTTTCTTCTTCACGCTTAGCCTTTCGCTCCTCGTGTAGTTTTTTCCTTTCATCGAAAGTGAGATGCCGTGTCTGTAAGAAGCCTTTTGGTGAAAGGTGTCCAGTACCTTGACCATCAGGACCTTCTTCTTTAATTATTTGTTTGACGTTCTGGTATTCTCGCTTATGCTCCGTCCAACGCTGAATAATATCCAGACGTTCTTCTCTGCTGCATTTCTGAGCATCTTCGAAACCTTGGGCAGTTCTGGCTGCGATGATATAATTGAGCACGTTTGAGCCGAAAAGTTTTCTCACTTCTTTATGAATACCCATGAATGTGTAACCAGGAAGTCCCCATATGGCTTACTGATGTTAGCAATGCACGTGATGATTTGACAAATTCCGACTTACCAGCTCCAGGCTTGAGAACCACTCCTGCGATACCTTTTCCGATACCTTTAATGAGTCCAGCAGCACCTTCCTTCTCCGCACCACGCAAAGGCTGTGTGACAAGACCAGTGATACCATCAAACATTCCATAACCAAATTCCCTTCCAGCTGCCTTCAAACCACTCTGCAAATCCGTCACCCTTTCTTGTGGCCTAACCGTATCATCGCCATACAATTTAGGTGCATTATGAAATCCACGCGCCAAACCTAGTGTGAAATCCATGGGTGACTTCAAACCTGCACCAACGATACGCGAAATACCCTTTCCTGCTCCTACAGCATTTTCAATAGTCAACTTGGAAGGATCAAATTCCTTGGGTGTCTCGGAACCTGAATCATTGCGAGAATGACGGGATTCTATGTTATCCTTCAACACTTGGCGTAACGAATTTGTATGCTTGATACTAGGACTCGCTGTGTGCGAGATTGAACTCTGGGTACTTGGTGTTGAAGGAGTATCAATATCGTTCGAGGACCGCTGACTGCTTTCGAAAGAAGTCTTTACTGACGAATCTGATCCTTGCAGCAGACTAGCGTCAACCGAACTAAGCAATCCTTCGTCTAATAGCAAATGATCCTGAGACCGACCCTTTATAGAAGATTTCGGTGTAGCAGAAGCACTTGATGGTTCTTTAGCAGCAGCATGAGCTTCCTTATCTCGCTTCACTTTCCTGAAGATTTCGATAGGGAAATCTGCTACACCCATACTGAGACTTGCAATAGTTCCCAGAAGCGCAGTTGCCCCTCCAGATATTGGATCCCATGGACCATCATCAGTTTCATATTCTTTTGAACGATATCTAATTCTGTCAGCTACCATTTGATTAACAACATAAGCAAAACAACTTACAATTTCAAATCCGCAAAACTGATAAGATTCTCACTAGCAAGAACATTCGCGGCCAAAGCACTAAGCCTAGTCTGAGTACGCTTAACCCTCCAAACCGCTACTCTATGTGGTGCCAATGAGCATCTCATATTATCAACATGAAGATGATCGTGAAAGCTTTTCCCCCCCTCTTCAGTGCCCTTCTCCTCTTTAATTCTAGCCCCTAACTCTTGTGCCTTTGCCAAAGTTTCAGGCTTGAGAGCATCAGCAATAGCTGCAGCAAGTTTATCGGCAGTAAGTTGCTTGTATGGAATGGGTAGTGGACCGGCTCCAGCTCTAGCAGTCATTGCACCCCAGAATGGCTGATCGCCAAAAAATGGCACGACAACAGTAGGTTTTCCTGTAGCAATACCGGCAGCAGTGGTTCCAGCACCCCCGTGATGAACAACGCAAGATACATGTTGAAAAAGCCAATCGTGAGGCACATTACCCAACATGAAAACACCCTCAGGTACGTCAAGCGCATCGCCACCGAGACCTCCCCATCCTTTAGACACTAAAGCCCGAACACCAGTTTTCTTGACAGCTTCAAAAATGAGGGTTGTCATCGCATTAGGATCATCAACGACAATGGAACCAAATCCAATATAAACAGGTGGTGGGCCGTCAGCGAGAAACGCAGCTAAATCGGGTTCAGGCGTATAAGAGGAAGCTAAAGAGAGAAAATAAAATCCAGATATCGAGATATGCTTTCCCCAATCTTTTGGCTTCGGAATAAGTGCTGGTGACCAGCAATATGTGTATGGAACACGAAGTCGACTCAACATTCCAGGTGCCCAAATCAAACTAATAGGATCAAGTCCAAGAGCCCTTTCTCTAAATCGATTGATAACATCCCCAAGTCCTTGCCATGTCATCATTTCAACAAGTGCATAAGATATGAAGTTAGTCATGTTCACGTCTGCATTAGAGGATTGAATATTCGCTAAAGGATGAGGAAAGGACTGGGTAGGCGACCAGGGCATTCTGTATACAAGTAAGCAAAAGTCCGTTGGTATAGTGTAAGAGAAATACACACGTGAACATCATATGCAGCGGTATACCTAATTTCTCCGCAATATGGATATGTGCAAAACTTGGAGGGTTAGCGATGATCGCATCCGCAACGAACGGTCTATCCGTCGGATCAGTATCCATGTTGATACCCGATTCGAGACCCAATGATTGTTGCGATCCGGATTTATCAGGAGCTGGGCCTAGTCCATCCCCAGCTTCGATGCACGATCTCCAACAGCCCAGGATAATCTCTTCCATACCCTTTCTTCGTTTGCCAACGTCGCCGCTCTTCAAAGACTCGATACCTGGCATGAGACCTGGGTTCTTTACCATAAATGCCATCAACTCAGAAGGATCACCGCCAATGCTGAAAAACTCTAATCCATTTTCCTCCACGAAATCTTTGAATGTTGGATGCGTTGCTAGACGAACACGATGTCCGTAAGTAGATTTCAGGGTTTTACCTAGCGCAACAAATGGTTGTACATCTCCCCGAGAACCAACGACATGTATGACAACATTGAGTTGAGGTGGAGGTGTCTGGCCTGGTAATCCTCCTAGCGCAGGTGGTATGTATCCAGGAGGGAGGGGATGCGCATCTTCTTGTGCGTTAAGAAGAAGCTGATTACGCAGAGCGGGTATAAGAAGATTGGATAATTTGCGAGTTTTCTGGTTAATGTTGATGTTGATTCGTCCATCATCAGAGACCTTCGCCTGGGTGTCAAACCCGTCTTGACTGAGTTCTATTTCATTATGCTTGTTTCCATATGCAGGCGGAGGTTCTGTTGTTTCGTAATGAGACTCTATGTCTGGGATGCCTAAATACGAAGGGCGATGTGCACTGCTCAGAAGATAGCAATTAGTAGACGTTCAGATCTGAAGGATGAATGTATACGAACAACGACGAAGGAGGCGCAGTCGTGGAGGAGCCTGCGACACCTTCCTGATGCCTGGACTGTCTCCTCTCATGTTGAGATTGATCATTGTCCTCAATATTGCCATAAATCGCTGCTTCAGCTTGTGCGATCAGAGCAGGAGGTACAGCTCCATCTGCAGGCTTATTCGAATCAGTGGTCATATCGATAAGCTTCCTACGCTGGTAACAGCGTGGAGTATGAGATGCGAAGTGATACAGCTATCATAAAGATGTCAAATACGTGCAAAGATCAGGTGCTGGGAATCATGAGTATATTTGTAGAATACTTTCATGCATGTGGAAGCTTAATTCTCAGTCTAGACGAGGCTGTGACAGATACCCCGCGGAGTAGCATGGAACCCCACAATATGTCTGTCTCAATGAGTTGGTCATATACAATACAAGTATTGACCAAAGAAAGCAATACTCCTTCGTTGTATAGCCTACCTTGAGTACTTGTAGTCTGTAGCAGATCGATCACAAGATAGAACCAAGTATTCAATCCATGATGTTCCAGAGCATCTATGGAAGCTCAAGCCCTTCAGAGGCTTTCCCTACCCACGGAGTAGGTACCTCTAGATTATATACCGACTTTATACTTCGAACCGATCAAACCCACCAGTAGGCCCAATCATCGCTTTGATTAGGAGATCGTTAGCAAGCATAGTATCAGCATTGCCCTGGAAAGCAAATGGATCCTGATGTTTAGATGCTACCTAGGTGATTTCTGTACAGCGCAAGATATATAAGGTGGCCCAGGGAGCTACGAAGTGTGGCTTTTGAGCTTTCGTGGCGGTGTTCAAAACTCTCTTCAAGATATTGCACTTCATAGCCCCAGGCATTCGCTCTGAACTCCTCTAGAGAAACTCAAAAATCACCAATTACTGCCATAGTACTCGTAAAGAACATTGCGTGTATACTGGTGGTTTGTTGAATCACACTCGGAATGATTGTCGTTCTCTCTGCGTTAAATCTCCTACATTATACCATAACTACACAATACCCACAATCCGTAGAATCACAAGCTGATCATAGAGCCTGAAAGTAAATGTTCATCAATTCTTTTGATCCCCCGAAAGATTGCTTATAATACAAGAGCACCGTAAATGCTCCACTCCACATCACCCAGCATAAGAATTCCCAAGCACCATTTTGACGCTTCTCCAGCCAGAATCCCTCGACCGCGCCCTTATATCCCTCTGCTCCAACATTGTAAAGACCGAATTTAAGAAGAGAATTTGCGTGTAACCTTTGCGATGACTGAATATAATGTTAGCTTGAGATCTTCAACAAGAAAGGAATAGGAATGCCTTACTGTGAAGGGCAACAACACTGAAGATGAAAACGAGGGAAAGAACCAAGACGACAACAGGGTCGACCTTCAATCCTGGAGATTCATCGGTGTAAAGTCCTGTGTAGATTGTCAGTATGACTGGTTCCAGACATAAATGCTCGTTATCGTCAAGGGTGAATCTCAAATCGCAAAAGTCCTCAAAACCATGGCCTGGATCAAATAGATCGCAAAAAAGCGCTGGGAGAATGTGAATCGAGGCCCACGAATTGTGCGGTGTTCAGCATCCCTCGCATTGAGGTCAATTGGGACCGGAGAGCGAGAAAATGCACTCGAGTGAACCCGAGCATGCACCATGCATGAGCTACAAATTATGCTCCCCTCGAAGAATAGTCATAACTCCAAGGAACAGATCTCTTCGATCCTATCTATTCACAACTCCACCTGCGATCCATCCTGCGAGTTCTTATTCTCTCCAACTCCTCACCCACCAATTCCCATACATCAACCTCTCCCAGTCCTCCACTTTCCAAGATACTCCAAACAATCAACTAAAAAAACACTCACTCAACATAGTACTCGAGCTTCCCCCGGCACCAGCCGCTCTCGTACTGCTCGGCCTCGCATTTGCAACCTTGTCCTTTTGATCTGCCGCCGCACGTCTTCTAATTGCTGTCTTTGGGCCTCCAGGAGGAGTTGGGCTAGAAGGTCTACCCGATACTGCTGCTACCGGGCTGTTGACTGGGGATGTCGATCGTGGGGAAGACTATTTTGGAATCATTTAGTAGCTGTGGTAAGAGTTCTGGTGTCGCGCAAGGAGCATTGGCCATAGGGTTTGAGAAAGAAAGCAATGCTGCGCGGTGGTATAGTTGACGCGGAAGAATTGACAAGGAAATTAGTACATACCATTGTGAAGAAAGATGTATGATGGTTTACGTGGAATGAATTCAAAAGAAAGTTGTGAAAGCTCGAATGTCGAATTAAATTTGAATGGTCAAAGTAAAAAGTCGCAATAATAAGGTAGAGCTGGTCTTTGATGAGCTGGTTCAAAATGTCAAAGGACAGATTCTAAAAGGAGCCCAATGCTTGGTGCACCAAAAAGACGCTAATGAACCCCAGACCACCAGACATTTAGCCTCATGCCACTGATAGGACAGACGATTTATCATACATTTTAACAACTTTCATTTCATCTCATCTCAATTCACGTAGCAAGTGGTTTTTCTCTCCATCGATTGACTTGAACAGAAATATCATCACCTTTTGAAATCAAAAACAGGGAAATCAACAAGAAATAGCCACTCAAAAATGCATCTTAGTATTATTATTAAAGTGTTTATTTACCCAGTAATTATTTACAAGAAAGGTGTAATTGGAGTGTAAGTAAAGTAATAGGTCGTATGGAATCGTTTCATTTTTGGTATTTGATGAATGCTATCTCCAAAGCATTCACAAACGGTGGATAGAGTGTTTGATACATAAAGAGTCTGCGCCATGCGCAAAGCCCCGAAAAGTTTTAATGAAGTAGAAGAGAAAGAAAGAGATGGACAAATGAAAATGTCGGATATGCGTCTGCCCAAAGTGCCTCAGATCTTGCTGGGCAGGAAAAGAATGTGACAGGCCGATCTGTTGTTGTACGGTGTGCATCGTATGATGCTTGCTTTTTGCTGTTCGCTCTTCCACTGAGATGATGTTACTTTTCTCATATCCCAATCGCGGAGATTTTGACCCATCAATGTGATTTGATCTCTCGCTTTCTAGCAATTTCCCTCCATCACTCCCACTCGCATACCTTCCTGCACCAAGGCTGACCCAGCACGCTGGCCCATTATATAGATTAAACAGTACATTCTACAACGAAACCAAAGGTATCAACCGAAACGCCTTCCGCTATGATATCAAGCGAATTGCAAGAAGATTTTGCTCCCTTCTTAGAGCGCAACATCAAGAACTAAACTGACATCTCGGACCTGCGAGCCGGCCAAGTCCTCGAGAACTGGGATTAGATCCAAAAGCTCATTGTCGTGAGCATCTGAGAACCAACTACTGATGGGAACAGCGTGTTGCGGGTGGAAGATGTAAGAAGTTGGAGAATTGTCAATGATAATGGTTTCTCTCAGATCGCGACCGACTTGAGAAAGGTCCTTTACATAATTTCCTTGATGATTGTAACAACTTTCACGGAAAAGTCTATGATGAACAACGTGATGAATGTCAAGTTGGTCGAGAAGTGGGTCACCATACTATTGATATGTTAGTAAATATCATGAGGATCAACATTCTAGTCAATAATACCTTGGAAACAGAAGCTGTGAAAACCACAACCTCGTAGAGCTCCCCGACTCGCTTCATGAATTGATCAACACCAGGACGCTTGATGACGTATACATTGTGAAATTGCCCTTCAATCTCTACGGGAATGGTGAAATCCGCTTGGTGTAAGATCTAATGAACATGTTGGTTAGTTTTCGAATACCTTTCTTAATTCTGTGCTCGTGAACATACCTTGAAACTACTATGTACCAGAGTCTCGTCGAGATCAAGAACCAGACATTTTTTTCCTTTAAATCTTGGTGCAATTGGTGGTAAGAGCCATTGCTGTTTTTGCTCTATCGATTCTGTTTCAGTGACGTCTTCAATAGTTGGGATTTGAGGGACGGGTGGCGGAGGTGGAAGAGTTTGACCAGCCATTGGTTCATCTTTTGGGAGTGGCAATGGGGCCTCTTCGGTCTCAGTAGTTCCTAGATCCAAGTTTGCGATCTTCTCATCTCCCCCATCTTGTTGTGCCAGATCCGAACTTGGAGATGCAGCTCCAATTGCCGGTTCGGACTTCGCCGGAGCGTCAACAGATACTGTTGGATTTGCGGTCTCAGGTAGCGTAGGCTCTGATTCTACGACAGTGGGCAAGTCTGGCAAAGGTTGATCGCGAGAGTCGCTGATTGGACGATTCAGCTCCCCATTGGCATCCGAGGAGGAGGGGGTAGCTTTGGCGGTTTCCTGGGAGCTTGCCGGGTCATGCTTCTCCTCTCCACTATCGACTTGAGGCGCTTGTTGGGGTTGTAGCAGATTCTCTTTCTCTACTTGTGGTACCGCGGGAACACTGGCTTGTTGTCCCATCTTGCTCGAGTCTGGTTGCTTAGCTGTTGTAGGGCGGCTTAAACTAAATTTGGAGACCTTGTTGGCAGGAACAGGTGCATCCAACGAATTGGCGTGGTCCGGAGTACCGCAACAAAGAAGAGAAAGAAAGCTCTTCTTCTTTTTTGGCTGACGGACTGAAGGAGCGTCTTGAACTGCTGGTTGCGGAGAACCTGCAGCGCCCGTGGGATTTCCAGGTGATTTTATCGACATTTTGCTGCTTGCCGCACTCCCATTCCGCCTTCGCCCAAGAAAACTACCCTTCGATTCCTTGGATCGCCCACCTATGCTCTCTCTTCCCTCGCTCGCCGTCGCTCCGCTTAAACCGGTAGAAGTGGGCGAATGCTGAATTTTGTTGGAAGATGATCTCGATGGAACTTTCAGTAGGTCTTTATTTTTCTTGGAAGTTTCCGGCAATGGTTCGCTGGTTCGTCCTTGATCTTTATCGACGTTGGTAGTCGAATTCAAGCCGTTATCGGAATCTCCTGTCAAAGTGTTTTGAGTAGTCGACTGCTGTGTGGATGAGCTGGGTGGTTGGGAAACTGCGGTGACTGTAATGAATTGTTAGCAACCTATACTGGTATCGCAGTCATCGGCGCATCCGATGTTTGGAAATTAAAAAAATTAAAGTATATTTGGTAGAGAAAGAGGGTACACACAGTTGGAAGTGTCGAGGGTAGGTGGTTTAACTCCTTTCGTTCCTTCCAATGAAGTTGAGCGGCTAGGATCTTGCTCAGTCGGCTGAGCTACCTCATTACTCATCGAGGGCAATTCGATAATGGTTAAGAAAAAAGCAAGATTATCAGAGGACTAGATCTTTATAAAGATCTATCGAATCGAATCCAAGGACTTTTATCTTCAAAACGCGTCGAATGATTTAAGTTGATGTCCCTAATCGTTATTTAATTAGTCTCTTTAGTCTCCTATCTAAGAACCTTTTGGTACTAGAGAAGCGTTCCGTTGCGCGATAAATAAAGAAATGCGATGATCTTTTAATTATTTATTTGGAAGTGGAGCGAGGACCTTGGGCGCAGTTGATATTGGGGGAAAGAAGTGAATGGGAGTGAATTGAATTGAAATGGATTGAATTGAATTGGATTGAATTGAATTGAATCGAATTGAATCGAATCGAATCTCGTGAAGATATATTGGAATGAAACTTACAATCAACAAATCTCGACGCTCCTGAGGGAGAGAAATTGAAAGAATGACTTTTGAATGAAGATTGGACGAGATGAGTGTCGATAATAGGATGGGACATTCAGGACCTCTGAATTAGCGAGATTGGATTGCGCTAACAAGCTTCAGCAGAGCTACAATAATAAGATCACTTCTTCTTTCACTTCTTACTTCACTTCTTTTATACCAGTCAGTGCTTGGTCAATAAAATCAAATGTAATGAAAGTAGGTAAGGTTGTATACAAGAGGTAATCCGTTCTTGGTCGGCAAATGAAGATTGCAGAGATGACGACAAGATAGGTGGTCGAGTCGAAAAAAGTAAGATATCTTTCCAAATCAATCAAACTCTAATGTATCTTTCTTTTGTACCTAGAAATACCACCGGTGGGTTTTATAGGACAATGCTCTTTTCGTTTTATGAGATACAATTTGATCTCACTGGCAAAGATCGTGGCAATTATTTTCGTAATTTGAAGGCTGTGAGATGGGACCTATGTATGGCGTTGGGACTATGGTGTACCAATATATGTATGTATGTATGTATGTATGTATGTATATGTAGGTAGATAGGTGTAGGTGTAGGTGTGAACTTGTGGCGTGAACGGTCGATAGGTGGGGAAACTAAAGGTATTTGAATAGAAAGGATGATTTGAATGCTGTATTCTTGGATCCGAGTGGTACTGAAGTAAAAGTAGTAGTGGTGATGATGATGATGATGATGAGGATGAGGATGAGGATGATTAGGTATGATAAGTTATCTAATAATACAACGATTAAGAAAAGACGTGGCCGTGGCTGTGGTGAAGAAGAAAATGGAGATTTTTATCAAGTGTTGTACAAAATCAACCACCAATGTACGAAATAACGGTCCGGTAATGAAAGGCTCTGAACAATGATGGGTATGGGGACAATAGATGATAGATGATGGATGATGGATAATGCCTAATGCTTAATGCTTAATGAACCAAAATCTTACGGCTCTGAAATTAAACAGCTTTTGATTCGATAGAACCTTAAAACTTGGAACCTGCAGGAAAAAAGATGAAAGATTCGGGGCAAAGGGAAAGAGTTCCAGGAAGAGGGAAGGGGGCCATTTTCATTTCTTATATACGGTTACTAGGGATCTCTTCAAGTATAACTTGCCCGGCGATGGATGATGGCAATGGTGGTGAGGGTGATGATACACAAAGTAATTGGGTCAAGATGTATCATCGATATGAGGCTATGAAAATTGCACATATAGCTAGTTAGTTAGACAAGTATATGCCTATGATAATTATACATTTGAGTGAGGCTTCCAGGTTTCCACTGGAGTCGCTTTTATCCATGAACCCCCCTCAGGGTTATGATGCATTAAGTGGAAGAAGCACAAGCACCTAGGTCGGTAGGTGGAGGTACTAGATATGCACCTAAAGAGTCTCCATGTATTTTGACTTGCTATCTGGGTCCCTAGTCAGAATCGTAATAAGAACAAGAGGAGTAAGTAATAAGAGTGAAGGGGAAAGTAGTATCGTATGGTTGATTCCTCGCACAACAATGATGATGATGATGATGATAACAAGTCTCCATCTTTTCCTTCATCCTCTTTGTCCTCTTCTCCTCTTCTCCTCTTCTCCTCTTCTCCTCTTATTTATATCGTATTCCACCATACATCTAATGAATGCATTGCAGACAACAGTGTGCACTTGGAGAACCCAGCGGGATATTGTTCCCATACCTACCTAGCATCTCTCTCACATCCGTTCTGGACCCTCCAATTCCAAAATTTATCATCAATTCCGGGACTTGGCCAACTCCATCAAAGGGATTGATTGCCTAGTGGGTAACTGGGCAGGTAACTGGGCAGGTAATAAGGATGGAGATGGATCTTTCTTCCAAGGGCCAAAATGAGATTAGGCGCCCAATAATTTACCGCCCGCAGTCTAACCTATCAAACACGGGAACTCCCTTTTTTTATTTGAACAGATTATCCACCTCCTCCGTACATCTTAGATTCGTAGTCTATCTGAAGTATCACTTCACCACATTCATTGGTCGGATGATTGAATTCAATGCCATCCATGTTACTCTCGATACTTGTAGGGTCATCATACGGAGTACATACCCGTAGAGTGTGGACAAGTCAATTTTCCATCACCCCACGAACACTAGGTAGATCAACCGATGATATCAACCCAGTGCTTCTACGATACAAAATACTCTATTGATCCCGAGATCCTTCATCAAATCTCCCTCAAAGGAAGAAGAGATCTTTCACTTGGTAGGGAATTCTATGAGTATCTCATTCTTTTCAGCACCTCAGTACCTCAATACCTCAGTACTTATGTATTACATCCCTAATTACTTCCGATATGGGTACAGAGAATCACGGATTTCTAGCTTCTTAGAGAATCCCTCCATGTCCCCCTTTGCCGTCAATCAGTCATGTTATCAATACTTACAGATGCCGTACCTCAAACATGAGTAGGTACCTACCGTAGCTCCCCTTGTATGATGCTAAGCCGGTTATCCCTCTGCACCTAGCCTGCGGTAACTTGTCAGCTTACAGGAAACTGCTTACCCTCAAAGGTGTAGGGAGTTGGTAAACTCGGACATATATCCCAATTCGAAGTCTGGATAGAGACGTACCAAGATATGCTTGGAGCAATGATACGGGAAAAGTATATAAATATATGTATTACCATGCCGACTATTGCTTCAAAGTTCACACTGTACACAGAACGTTCAAACGGGAGCGACACAGTACTCAAGGAGTCAAGCTCATCCGGATGATCTTTCAAGAAAGATCTTCGAACTACTATTTGCTCTCCACTTCAGCGGTTATGCTTTGACCTATTGACGGGGCCTAGAATTTAGAATTTATGAAGCTATCACCAAACCAGGATCAAGCTTTTGGTGCCCAGGTAATAAGGTGATGTCTAGGTACTTCGTAGTCAACCGTCCTCTACCGTTTGCTCAACTTTAACTTTCCAACTGCCATGTCTCTCGGTCGACACACATTTCACAAAATCACAGCATTTAAAGTGATAGTCATTTCCAGGGTCTAATTCAATCACCAGATGTGGATGTCCGACGAAAGCCCGAACGAAACGGCTTGAGAAGTTGAGAAGTTGAGATTGCTCGGATGGTTTTCCAATAAGTTCAGTCTAGCTTCTTCCCGTTCGCTTTATGATAAATTGGTGTGACAGTAAATTAATAAGAGCCCGAGCCCGAGCCCGAGTAGACTTTTTCCTACTGTATTGGGAGGATTGACAACAGCAACAAATGATTTCGCCAGACACTTGAAGGCGTTGAGTCTTGTCCTTATTATGAAGGCACATTGCTGATCTGGTAAAACGTCACGAGTAGTGCTAGGTCTGGTATTCAGGTACAGGATTGTGGTCATCTCTGTATTCTTTCTGACTTCAGTCAATTTATACTCGTACTGTACCAAGCACTTCTCGTTCTTTTTCCTTTCGAAAGTTTGCGGGGAAGCGAAGCTACGAATTGCGGGTTTGTCCCTGCAGGTTCCAGCAGCCTCGGTTTTACATTTCCACTTCATCTCACATGTCAATAAACAATCATGATCATCAACTCTTCTGAGCTGAGTAGAGTATCTATCAAACAAAGTGCAATACAAGACTAGTATTAGTACTATCAAAACACACAATATACCAACCTTACTGTCTCTGAATTCATGTGAGGTAAACCTAAGCTTCGCTGAATGTCCAGCGATTTGATCCGTCATCGAAATTCCTTGGAATGCAACACCATCAACCAAATACTTTACTCTCGAGCGAGGAAATGAAGTCCAAGTAGCTGGCGCATATTCGATATCGCAGAGTCGTGGTTCTTTTCAATCCCCAGAAAGATGGCTTCCCAATCTACTTTACGATATTCCGATCCCATCGGCGCGCTTTATCAACGATATGCGAATCTCATTCGAAGTCGAGTACAGGGAGCTTCAAAGACAACAAAACTGGTCGCAACTTTACTTCTTACTCTTTCTATAATATGCGGAGGGGCCTTTGGTCATCGATCATGGCAGAAACGCGCTGCAGAAGAGGAGCAAGGAAAGAGATTACACAGGCGGAACTCTGGACTTAAGAAAAAGGATGGATCGCGGGTGGTATTCGTACCATACAAAGACACCACCTCCAAAGTTACCATATATCCTACAAAACCTTTGACTTTCGATGCTCATAGAAGACTTTTCCTGAATCCACCTCGAGCTGCTGGACTCACGGATGGTCAACAAACTCCGCAGATTCCGCCTCCCCAAACAAAGCCGGGATTAAATCTAGCATTTTTACATCAATTTCTCAGTCTCTTGAGTATCATGATCCCAAGATGGTCAAGTAAAGAGACTGGGTTACTTCTGAGCCATGGTATCTTTTTGTTACTTCGAACATACTTGTCATTGGTTGTGGCACGATTAGATGGTGTGATTGTTAGAGATTTGGTTGCAGGTAATGGGAAAGCTTTCAGCTGGGGCATCATCAAGGTAAGAGTGCTGAATTTTATTTCATTGGGCGTGGAGAACATATTCTATTTTCTCTCCCCTCAAAGTCCCTATCAATTCGTTTCTCACTGTTCTTTAACAATCCTCAATTTTCAATCGGCTAACTATATAAAAGTGGTGTGGCATTGGAGGTTTGGCTTCATACACAAATGCTATGATCAAATTCCTTCAATCAAAAGTTTCAATTGCTTTCCGCACACGATTAACAAGATACATTCACGATTTGTATCTTAATGACAACCTCAACTACTATAAACTTTCAAATCTTGATGGTGGCGTTGGGCAAGGTGCAGATCAATTTATAACGCAAGACTTGACTCTTTTCTGTGAATCAGCAGCAAGTCTTTATTCATCGTTAGGCAAACCTTTCGTTGATTTGTGTGTTTTCAACTACCAATTATACCGGTCTCTTGGACCATTGGCCTTGACTGGATTAATGACAAATTACTTTTTGACGGCTTCAATTCTTCGACGACTTTCACCACCATTCGGAAAATTGAAAGCTGTTGAAGGACGTAAGGAAGGAGATTTTCGAGGTCTCCATGCACGTCTCATTGCAAATGCAGAAGAGGTAGCATTTTATGGAGGTGCCAATATGGAGAAGAACTTCCTAGATAAAGAGTTTAAAAGTCTCAAAAGATGGATGGAAGGGATATATACCCTTAAAATTCGCTACAACATACTTGAAGATTTTGTTCTCAAGTATAGTTGGAGTGCATATGGTTATTTGCTTAGTTCATTGCCAGTATTTCTCCCTGCATGGGGTGGACTTGGTGGAGTTGCGGAATTGACGGATATCTCTGTAGTAGGCGGTCGAGAAAGAGGTCGAATGAAGGAGTTCATCACCAATAAGCGACTTATGTTATCATTAGCTGATGCTGGTGGACGTATGATGTATTCGATCAAGGATCTCTCGGAACTAGCTGGGTACACAAGTCGAGTCTATACGCTGATTTCAACCCTTCATCGAGTTCATGCAAACGCATACTTTCCTCCTCGAGCCATTCAATCAGAACTCTTCTCTCTTTCAGATGTACAGGGTACGACTCAAAGGGGATTTGATGGGGTTAGGCTGGAAAATGTACCTGTAGTCGCTCCATCTGTCTATCCACATGGTGGAGAAGAACTAATAGATTCCCTCTCCATGGTTGTTCACTCCGGCGAACATCTTCTCGTAAGTACTCTTCTCCCGTCCTCCTCAATACCCCGAAGCTAACCTCTCAGATCTCTGGCTCGAATGGCGTTGGTAAAAGTGCCATCTCCCGTATCGTCGCCGGTCTCTGGCCGGTCTATCGAGGTCTCGTATCTCGTGCCCGCACGACCGGAACCGATGGCATCATGTTCTTACCCCAACGTCCTTATCTCAGCGTCGGTACTCTACGCGATCAAGTCATCTATCCAGATGGCGAAGTCGAAATGCGTTCCAAAGGTCGTCGCGACATTGAATTAAAACGTATTCTCGAAGAAGCGCGATTAGGCTATCTCCCTGATAGAGAAGGTGGCTGGGATACGAGAAAAGAATGGAAAGATGTACTTAGCGGAGGTGAAAAACAACGCATGGCTATTGCGAGATTGTTGTATCATGAACCTAGATATGCGTTTATAGACGAAGGTACCTCTGCTGTCTCGAGCGATGTAGAGGGACTTCTGTACGAAACGTGTAAGGAGAAGGGAATCACGTTGATTACGATCAGTACGCGAGCGAGTCTTAAGAGATATCATACGTATAACTTGAAGTTGGGACTGGGTGATGGGGGAGAGTGGGAATATGAGAGGATTGGGACGGAGAGGGAAAAGATGGGGACGGAGAAGGAGTTGCAGGAGTTGAGGGAGAGGATGCAGATGGAAAAGGTTTGGGAGGAGAGGAAGAGGGGAATTGAGAGGGAATTGGAGGAGGTGTGGGTGGAGGGGGGGGAGAGGTTGGAGGGGAATGTTTATGATGGGGAGAGAAAGGGGGGTGTGGAGGGTGAGGTGGAAGATGCAGAGCTAAAGGTGGAGGGTGAGGTGGAGATGGAAGTCAAAGATGGCGGGGAAGCTCCAGTTGAGACGTGAAGAAATGTGTGAAGATGAGAGGAGAATGATCAAATGAGCAAGGCATTTCAATAACCATTTTTGTATTCTAAGAATATGTTTGTATGTAAGATCCATAATGAATAACGAATGGAGAAGTATAAACATGTTTCTTGAGTCTTGAGTCTTGAACATAACATACATTTAACATGTTACATTATATGTAGGAGATATTCAATACAGTATGATGTAATATAATACCATATGACATGAATACATCACATCACATCACATCACATAAGCTATGTATACATCTAGATGGAACATTCCAGATTCAAGAGGGAGATAAAATTCTCACATTCCAATGTAATTCCACTCCTCAGATCACACAGATCTCAAACCTGGACGGGGGAACTTTAATTCCAAATCCCTGGTTGTGTTGATGATTGATGGATTGATTGTTTGTTTGTTTGTTTGTTTGTTTGTTTGATTGGGGAATAGTCTGTAAATGGTTGGAGTATATTAGATATTAGATTAGGTAAGTAAGGTTAGGTATATGAATGGCTGGTTAGGAGGTTGATTGATGGGTAGATGGGTAGATGGGTAGATGATATTGTAGTTTTTTAAGTAGAAGATAGATATAAATGAATAGGTAGATAGATGAGTAGATGAAGAGGTAAAAGAATAAAAAAATAGAGAGGGAGATGAAGAAACAAATAGACAGATAGATAGATAGATAGATAGATAGATAGATAGATAAATAGATAGATAGATAAATAGATAGATAAAAATAAGGAGTAAGGGAAATAGAGAGGAAAAGAGAATATAAAAGAGAGAGAGGAGAGAAAGATATATACACATATATTCAAAAAGAAAGATAAATACAAATATAAATCAGCACTCATTCATTTTCAATCCTCATAATAAAAAACAGAGAGAAGAAAAAGAACACTCGATATATTCTATTATGAAATTATCAAACTATTTAAATCAATATCCCTCCTCCCCATCCTCCGTTACCTCGCCTGTCTTGCCTCGCAATATAATTGTGACGCACTATATATTTCTCGAAAAGGAATATGAAGTAGGCTTGTAGGTAAACACAAGAAAACGAAACTCCAAACGTTGGAATATGGAAAAGATGAAAGATAAAAGTCAAGACACGATCCAATCTCTACATCTTCTCGTGATCTATGTCTAGATTGTGGGATGTATCATGTAAACGGATGGTGTTTTTGGTAAGGAGAGAGAGCGAAGATGAGTCTTAGTGTTGGTACAAACGCTTGGTGTTTTGGGTTTAGACTTGAATTTCAATCGAGCACATGCGAACTCCTTTTGGGTTCATGACTAGTGAGAGCACAGAATTTGCGGGGTTTGAAATGCAACATTGTAATAGGTTTTGATCATTATCGACTGTACTGGTATTGGCAAAATCTTATGTTTGAAAGAAACTTAAGAATAGCATAGACAGGTAACTTGAAAATAGACTTCATAAAAACTCATCAACCATTGATTAAAATTTGCACAGAAAACATTTGTCATGTCAATATTGTTGTTTGCTATTGATCCCATTCATTGAGCTTAAGCTAGCACACCTTTCCGAGATGCATGTAAAAACACCAATATTTGAAACCCCAACCCAGACTTATGCCACGAAACACTTAGTAGAAAGTTGATGGTCTCTTTGAGGCGAAGAGGTTGGCGGTCATGGATTTGGAGATGCGGTGAGGAAGAGGGAATTTGAGGTCCTTTTCGAGGAGTTGCTTAATGTATGGGCGCTTGACGTCTTCGGTCTTCTCGATCTCAACAACCTTGAGGATCTATTTGGAGAATCAGTAAATTGGTGTTGTGATTCAAACATAAATTCAACTTACGTGGATCGACCTGAAACGGGAACGATGTCTGGCAGCCATATCTTGGTACAAAGCCTCAACAGCATCGGTTCTTGACATCTCACGGTACTCCTTGTACATGTTGTGAGTTCCGGAGCGGGAATCATATCTAATCCAGATACCGAAGTTCTTAACCTTCATTGGGCGCTTCTCAGAGATCTGCAAAAGTGGAAATTAGAATCTTGAAGCATTCGAATACGTCATTGTGTAATCGCATACCTCGTTCAAGCTGACGATTTCTCCATTTGCCTTCTTGACCTTTCTTAACTTCATCAAGAAGTACCAGAAACGAGACTTTGCAACAACGGTGTTTGGTGCAAAAATTCTCATGCGGTACAACTTTGGGGCTGGGTTGGCCTCGGAAGGCAAGTGACGGCCAATGACCTGGTATTCTCTAAGGCGACCTAAAGGAAAGCATGTTAGCTTCCAGAACTTCCACTCTTAATCTCGAATCCATGCGGTATAAAAAAAATAGGTCCAATCCTTGACTGGCATCATGGTTACGTAGTTGATGATTGTTGATTTGGCGATTTATTTACTCCATTAGAAACGGTTCGAAAAAAGGATTTCTTCATTCGTGTAGAGGCTTCAACATGAAGGTTCAAGAAGCCGGTGATCGGTGCCTCGGTTTTTGAAAATCTCTTGGTCCCATTCGTGAAATTCCCACTTCCAAACTACAACCAATGACTTCATCCGGCTCGATTCTGATCGCTGCAAATGCTCAAATCGAATGCGTTTTCTTCCTCGTGCCAATCATTACACTGTCGTGAGGTCCGCAGAAGAGAATTATCGAGTGGTGCGCAATTGTCGTGTCGATAATTTTGAAAGGTCCATTCCATCGGATTGAAGAAGAAAGTCTATATCTTACCCATCTTTATGGGGTTAGCTGACGTCGTTGATTTCTTTGCGATAGAGTTAAACGTACTGTGAAATTGTGTGGCCGTGGTTGTTGTCGTGATTGTCGCTGCAAATTTTGAAATTGATGGCTTCGCTCCTCCCAAATTGAAATTCTCGGTTGAAAATTGAAGCTAAGGGTTTCAATTTTTAGCAGCCCTAGAGATTTCCACCTTACCCTTTGTGGCTTGGTCGATGGTTCATCACGGGAAAGGTGGGGCCATGGAGTGTCAATAGCATATTATCAATGGTGATTATTAATTTCATGAGAATCGAACTAAAGAAAGAAGCAATGTAATGAATAGATGAGATATGAAATACATTGAAAGATAGTTCCCATGACAATACTCCAACCTCTCAGTAAAATGGTACTCGTGATACCATAACGGCTGATTCCTCGCTCTACGTTTTTCTTACATAGATTCATGATACCCTCGCCGGCGTTCAAGATTTTTAGTTTCTCATCTCTTCGCAATCAGATTATCAAGCATCAGATTGGATCATTGTTTCCTCTCAGACCATAAGAAATTTCGTATCCATTGTTCAAAGGTTGCAAACCCTATCTGAAATTGAAGATGGATGCGTTTTTGCATGATTTCAAGGCCGCCTACAATGAGGGAAATGGCTACAGTGTGTCCATGTCCCTTTATCCTATCGCCCCTGCTTCAAACCCCAACAGACTTCGAGAATTCCATCGAAGTACAAATTTCGAACATGTCAAGAAGGATATTGAATATCGACTTCTATATGATGATCGATCTCCGTTGAATTGTTCGGTGGAAGAAGGTCGGGCATGGGTGGATGTTTATTGTGCCTTTTGGAAATTTATTGGATTCATGTCCAATGCAGAGGCTGCTCCTGAAGACAACTCAAAGGTATGAAACTGGATATTTGAAATGGAGGAGAGTATAATGCGGCACTACTACTTGACTCGACGTGTTTATAAGAACACGTGATGTGCTTGCGATTTCTATTGCTGCCATTTTCTGGTTCTAGCTTTCATACGCTCAAAGATTCAGCTAACATTTGTTTAGGATGCATGGACAAAGGTATATGAATCATGGAAAGAAGTAACGAATGCTCTTCATCGTGGTTATAGTGCTTGCGGATTTGAAGCTTGGACTGTACCTTGCTTATACGTAGCTGGCAAATATTTACGAATCTTTGCCATCAAAGCTGATGAGGCAACTGGCACCGTATCGAATGCAGCTATGAATTATCAAGATGACTTGAATCCAGAGTCAGAGACAAACGAGAAGCTGGAAGATGCTGCTCGACAATTGAATCGCATTTTTACATTATGTCTCAGCGACCGAGCATCCCTTGAAGAGTCTAGAAAATGGGCTACTTACAATATCATTAATTTGTTGTTTAAGACCTACTTCAAATTAAACTCTATCGGATTGTCAAGAAATATTCTCAACGCGATCCAAGCATATAGAGGTGATATGCCGAGCCTTAAATCTTTTCCTATGTCTCATCAGGTGACGTTCAAATATTATTGTGGAGTCATATATTTCCTCGAGGAACATTATGAAGAAGTAAGTTTATCAAATTGCAATTTTTGGATGTAGAGTCCTGACTAAAGATGTTTAGGCAGAGAAATATCTCACCGAAGCATGGAGATTATGTCACAAGAGTGCCGTTAAAAATAAAGAGTATATTCACAATCATATCGCTAAAATGTTAAAACAGCCACTAATCACAACATCAGACTCATCCTCACTTACCTGATTCCCTGTCACCTCCTAACAACCCATACTCTTCCCACTCCAGCCCTCCTCCAACCATATCCTAAACTTCAAAAGCTGTTCGGCCCTCTCTCTCGATGCATCAAAAAAGGCGACCTTGCCGGTTTCGACGCCGCTCTCTTAGCCGGTGAAAACGAGTTCGTCAAACGTCGTATCTACCTCACCCTAGAACGTGGCCGCGATATCGCTTTGCGCAATCTCCTACGCAAAGTATTCATCGCAGGCGGTTATGAAGAAGCCAAGGAACCAACTGCTGCACCAGTAAGAAGGACTAGAATTCCAGTTGCGGAATTCGCTGCTGCGATCAGTATTGGGAGTAAAGAGACGATGGAAAATGATGAAGTGGAATGTTTACTTGCGAATATGATTTACAAGGTGAGTCTTCGAGTCTTGTCCTTCGAGGGTTTAATATGCTAACACTTAGTCTTTAGAGCTTGATGAAAGGTTACATATCACGAGCACATGGGATCGTGGTATTAAGCAAAGGTGGCGCATTTCCCGGGACAGGCGTTTAATGATTTCTCTTAGCGGTAGTGAAACGACAATGATATCAATTATATGCTGCAAGATGATATCCCGTAGATGTATGAAATTATTCTATTCGGCGATATCCACAACAAATTCATAGTTGGTACCGAGGACATTTGCCTCTAAGGCACCCGTTGATTCGCCTCACTTTTCTCAAATATGTACTCGGCGCTAGATGTGAATTCAGTGTTCAACAACAAAATATCGATTTGCCCGCACTATATATAGATACCACACCAAAATATATAATATGCATGCGGTCACTGGTAGTTCCAACATATTTGACATGAGCCTGGTGGCTGTATGTACGTATCTATCTGCCTTGAATATCTTGGCATCTATCTACATTCTGAATGCGATTTTTGTGATTCATTCGATTTCTTTATTTTGGGGGTATGTCTTATCTATACCACACATGCATACATATATTTGTAAAGAGACATATTTCCAGCCAGCATCTCCATCAGCATCTCTATCTCTAAGGCGTCGAATCCGCCTCGACTTTCTAAGTTTTTTACCTATGATATCGAGGGCGTTGGTGATACGTACTAGGTAGGTATATTAACACATAGGTGTGTAGGTATATATGCAGGTAGATGACTATTCAAGTGAACAGTTGATATCGAATACTCGATAAATAAATAAACAAAACACACTACCTACCCACCAACTTCCTTTATGTTTATACTCCGCACCTTGTAGTAGCATGACATGGCATGACACAGTGAGACATGGAGAATATATATCATCCTCATATATGGATATAGTAAATTATAGTATACGATCCGATTACTATTATACTATTGAGTCTCACCTCTCATAACCTACGTCTCATCTTATCTTATATCTTACAATTTACGTCTCATCTTATCTTATACTCCCTATTACTATTCCTATCATTATTACACTTCCCCATTTTCTCATACGATTTTCCCATACATGGTCAGTCACTCATCTCCTCGCTTCCTCGCTACTTTCTTCTATCCTATCCTATCCATCCATTGTCCATCCACCCATCCCCTCAATCAATAAACCCATCAACCCAATCCCAATCCCAATCCCAGCCCCAGCCCCATTCGTCCTCCTACCATCTCATCATTAACACATGTCCTCAACATAATCTAAAATTCCAAACTCATCCATCCTCCTCATCACATCCTCATCTTCTAGATTTCTTATCTCACTATTCCATAAGTACCTAAATAGACTTCACCGTTGTTACTGTAGGGGAACATGAACTATAGAGGGGGAACGAGGTAAAGATAATCTATATTCATGAACGATGTTTGTATTGATTTCCCTTTCTTCTTCTCTTTCGGATTTAATCAAGTAGAATGAAATGAAATGAAATTTGCAGTTTGCGTTAAGGAGTCCAAGAAAATACAGATGTGATATATACAAATCACAGATCACAGAATTTCTCTCCTCGAGCTCCACGATACGACAAATATTGAATATGGGTATTAGTATGAGTGTCACTGATGTTGATTTGAATACTTGATAGATAATCGATACCACTACCACTACCATCCTATATCCATCCATTCATTATCCCCATAGGTAATAACTCGATATCAATAACAATATCATCAAATCCAAAACTAAAATCATGAAATCTAGTTCCTCCCTTCCCAATTCAAATTTCAATTCCCAATCGCCTCGCATTCTGTTCTGTCTGCAAACTCGACTGCCATTTTGGTTTTCTTATCTTGCTAGCCTATCCTATCATATCCTATTCCCTTTATTTCCCTTCTTTCCATCTTTCTTCCATCATAAAAACAGCGTGGTTGGGATTCATCCCCCTTTCCCTTTCCCCCTCCTAAGAATTTGACATAACATAACTTAAAATTGCAAAACACAGTGTAATAGATAAACAACATAAATGAAAACCCCCAGAGCAAAAGGCAAGAAGCAACGAAAATAGAAGATCAATAAATAATACAATTCCATCCCCTCATCCAATCCATAATCTCGTTCTTTCACATTCATTGATCTGTCCTGTCGATTTGATATGTTCTCCCTTTCCCATCCGGATTTCCCTACATCCTTGATAGAATGATAAAGTGTCCAATCTGTCATACGAAACGAAATGAAATATTGAAATAACAAGACAGGAAGATAAAAAAGAAAGAAAAAAGCAGTCATCAAAATATTTAGCACAAGAATGGTAATCCTACATGCGGCGCCGTCCGATCATCCTCGTCTGCCCGTTTGCTCGTTCATACCACCATCTCGACGGTGTTGGTATGTCCCAGCGCAAAGTAAAGCCAAATCCTAAAGAAAGAAATCCAATGTGAATAGAATAACAGAATAATGGTGACTGTAAAGAAGAAAAACATCGAAAACGCAACGCCATGGTATCAAATAAGGATAGGAATCAATGTTCGTTATAAAAAGTAAATAGTGAAATATCATGAGTTTTAACCGAGTAAAGTTGAGACCAAAAAGGTTGAAAATGTGTGAGGAATGGAAGAAATGTAAATGCAACGCTTGTGTGGATATTCATGAAAAAGGTAAATAAGTAAAATGAATTGAGGTGAGAACAAGAGGAAAGAGGATATCATCATAAGGAATATAGTGTCGTGATGTAACACCCATCAGGTAAGGAAATGTGAGGTGGTGAGTTGGCTTGAGATGAGATGCGAGTTCCAATTATCATTCAATGAGTCCTGAAGCTTTTTGGTGAAGCACTATTCTCATAATTAGCTAAAGTTCAAACCATTTGCATGTGTCATCATACAACATAAGGGTAGAAAGTACTTACGCAACAACATCATCTACATGATTAGCCAAAGCAACAAATAAGTCAAAAAACAGTGGTGACCCTCCCTGCATCATCTCCAATTGCATCGTACCACTTCTTTTAAAAGTGCTTCGACTTCTGATAATGAGAGCCAAATAATGAGCTCTTAGTTTTGAATCGGTATCAGGAGTATTCGCATATGCATAACGAGCTGATGAGAGAATGGTACTGCATTGAATACCCGATTCTTTCTTGCATTAGCGATGAGAGTAAAATGATAAAGGGGGGAGCATACGAAGCCCCTGTTTCCTTAATGCCACTCTTTGAAGTTCATCCAACCCATATTTCTCCGCCGCACAATAAATCACTGTATCTTTTAACAATTCGCCATCAATGGAATGGTGATGAATGGTCGATTCCTTTTCATCTCCATCAACACTTTCCAGCTCCCATGTATTTTTGCGTTTGTTATGTACGAGTCGAGGATAATAATCTCCTTTGTATAAATATTCGAGTACGGATGAAAAGATTTCGGGTTCTTCGTCTGGAAGTGTTATGCGTTTGTTGATCGTTTCCATGTACTGATTTCGACAGGCAGATTGGAAGAACGGGGATAGACAGAGGACATCTTCATGAGCAGCAAAAAGTCGTTGTTCACGACCAACGACGATAGTGATTATGGATGAGGTCAATGTACTAGATGGAGTTAATCATCGTGATAATTGAAGTGCTGTGCTCGACAAACATACTCTGGAGAAGAAATTTGTTCAGTTGGAGGTTTACGAGTAGTTTTCTCATGACGATGCTTTGATACTGCATGTTCTCTAAATGAAGACTTTCCTTTATGACGACGACTTCTTGAAAAACTTTCTGTTGCTTGTGATTTATTGAAGCTTCTCGTAAACATTCTCGGTCAGTTGCTAAAATGAAGGCTGTCAGAAAATCAATTGAAAAATCACGACACTGTTTTCTACCACACAAACAGGAAATGAACGTTAGTGATATCAATCGATGAATGATTTGACCCAGAATATTAATTGAGCCTCATGGATTGCAAGAAAGAATGTTCTCATGAGAAGTGGGTGGACACTTTATATATGTATTCATAGGCAATCAACGGACTAACGCGTTCTAGGACTGAAAGACGCGATTTACCAGGATAGAGTGATTGCATAAGTGCGACGCCAACACCAAAACAGGTGACTCTCAATTATTTGGCCTTAGTTCTGATTTCTGCCTTGTTTGGATTGAACATGCCATTGGAAGCTTTTCCCGTCCGCAGCAGTAGAGCCAGGGAAGCTGCATGAGAGGTTCGAGCAAATCTTATTTTTCGGTGAGACAATTATGTATGTCGGTATGTGTATCGGTATGGATGCAAGAGTTGGCTTGGAAGGGGAAAATCAAGGATTATCGGGGCTTTCTATAGGTACCCAATGAACGCCATCTCGCTGTCTAATGAAGCAAACGGGAGTCATACAGGTGGTGATCTTGGGCTTCAATCACTAAATTTGGCCTGAGAATCAGATATCTGTAGGTTTCTTGCATGGAGGTACAAATAAAGCAGCGTTCAATCTATTCCCCAATACATGAGCTGAGATGAGATATCGATAGAGATGTTGTTTATATCCCTGTTTCCCCGGACCACTCATTGTACAGATTAGTATGACAAGGTTTAGGATATCCCCTCAAAAGGTTGGCCGTGATAAAAAGAAAGAAAAGCAAGGCTGCTGTACTTTGAAGTCTTTTACTGTAGGAATTCTCGCGAGACAATTGGGATATCACCAAACCCATTTAGTTGTAAAAACTTGAGATTTATGAAAATAGTCTTCTCTCGAAGTCCAACGCGCGAATGGTCATGGAAATTGATCGTCCAAGGTATCGATGAATTGGGGAGAATGTTGTACATGGCACATTGTAGGAATGGATGCAAGGAGGCAAGGAAATGCAGTAACCTTGAAAGTTGGAAAGTACATGCAACTCTAAAATTGCTAGTATGGTATGTTGGTGTGACCCGATGGTTCGGAATTGCCTGTATGAGAGACTTGAAACTTGTTAAGATGTAGGGGATAGGAAATACGAAGGATATCTTTTTCTGGGGGGTGTCAAAATTTAGATAACGAGGCTCGAGCGAGGATTAGATGGCTGGATGGACAGATCAAAAATGGGGGTTGGAACGAGAAGGTAGATGAGATGGAAGAGATGACGGAGAGAAAAAGGTAATCGCGTCTTGGGGAGCATCAGTACGCGGACTCACGTGATATATATAGAAATGAACTGGAATTGGATTCCGCAATAAATCTATACTAGGACTAGGTAATGAAATTCACAAAGATCCAATTTCGAAATGCTATTCAAGAAGAATTGTAGTATTGTTGAACTCGTTTTTGTCTTGTTTGCTGGGGATTGAAGCTGTAAAGACTGCCCCATGAGTTCATGCACCACTAGTGGACTGGACTGTCAGTTTTGAGACCAGACAATAATACCTGAGCATTATATATTAGTTTCATATATTACAATCAACTACTTTACACTTCCACTTAACTCTTCCACTTTACTCTAAACTGACATCTCGTATAGCCTCTGCAATGATCACACTTCCGCCACCACGAACCAAAACCTCATTATGCAACGCACTCTGAATGACTTCTCTCTTCACCTCCAACGCAAGATCCGAGCATCTCTTCTCTAGTATTCCTCCATGTAATTCTGGCACCAGCTCGTCTTTTCCAGCTTGCAGAATAAGAACCTGTGGTGGTTTTAATCCGGATTCTCGAGTCCGTTCATGTAGTTCGCCTAGAGCTTTCCAACTATCAAGGTGGTTCCTCAAAAATGGGTGAAGATGTCGATATGGAAGCCATTTTTGTGGATAGAGTGTCTCTAGCATAGCTTTACTGTAGTTACAGTACTGATTAACCTCATATTGTCAAGACTTCTCAAGAACGAAATACTTACATGCCCAGAAAGGGAGTCTCCAGAATCAATCTTCTCAGACGCAATTCGTCTGAAAATATTCCACTCTTCGCAGCTAGACCTGTGACAACACCCGCTCCTATACTCTGACCCCAAAGAACGATATCGCATCCATCTAAGCCTGGTCTTGTTTCAAGATCTTTCTTAACCCATTGCATGGTAGCTTCTGCATCTTTCATGAGTCCCTTTTCTGATGGCCTCCCTCGTGATTTCCAATACCCTCTATAGCTGCAACATACAAATATGTATTGTACAGACTCGTTGTGAGTAGAAGATGATTTTTCCAGTTTTCGTGGAACAGTGGAGAGGAAAGGGAGTCTTGGTGATAACGATGCTGCATTGCCTGCATTCGTGTGAATATTTGACCACAGCGAGGAACAGGGAAATAATAACCTTGAAAATATAAGACATAGACTATTCGTCTCCTATCTTGGTCTCTTGTAGCACTACCACAAGATACTTCTGCAACACATAGGCTGATAGCAATATTATCTGTAGATCTGATTTTCTCTTCCCTCCATTTTATGCCCAGACATTCTTTTTGGTAATTTGCGATAGTTTCTTGCCTAGAATTTGGAGGCAACCCGGGCTATTTCTACCACATGAGATATATAGAACAAGATGATATGAGAGCGCTTACCATGTAGATGATTTTATTTTGAAATGTTACCATCATGAAGCATTTCCCTACCTTGACTTAGCATGGAAATCATTGGGCTGGAGTGCCAACCAGGAAGATAGAAACACGTTGCATTACACAATGCAACGTACATGAACTTTAAGAAGAGAGTAAATTAAGAACTTTTCTCGGTCTGATCACAACCCACAAAGGAAAATCATGGACTTCATGATCAATAAGGAGTACTGAACTTTCCATCTCCCAAATGCCCGAATCGTCTTCCTTCGAACGCCACACAAAATCATACAGAAAGCATACTCACAAGTCCACATCGCAACTCCCAATCCCAAGAAATACAAAGGCGGAACAAGAACCATAGGCACCTCAAAGAATCCACGCCGTTGATACTGTCCATATCCACGAGGCTTTCGTAAAATACACCTTGCCTGCTGAATAGGAAATCGAGGCGTCCGAAACATTGTGACTCAACGTTTCATTCAATACTTGGTATTTATTGATTCTTTGACTCATCGGAGTTCTTATGAACTGATAAAGTCATTCACCCGCATTGTCACTATTGTAGATTTTCTTTTTGGATTGTGTAGGTATTCCACTTACCTCCAGCTACCACCAAGTTTTATCAGCCACACTTTGCTCGTAAACTACGCAAGCCGCCACACCTTTCATCGGAACCCCTCGCCTCCCCACCAAACACCATCTTATCAGTCTAATGATGCAAAATTGGCCGAGACTAGGTAGAAACAGCGAGTATCTCTTCGAATCGAACAATAATATGTATAATTCACTTCAGCAAATCCAAGCTTCAAGGGACATCTAATACTATTGATACTAAAATCTATGAGATTCAAATTACGCAGAGATCAAATTTCGAGTGTATACAGTTCCAAATTGTCTTCGAATACACAACGACACCATAACGACACCAATTCCGGTAATTACCTACCTACATAAGTCAGCACAAGTTAAATTTCTGGCGTCACTCCACTGCAAGCACAACAACAACAACAACAACAACAACAACAACAACAAACAAACATCCATATATACATACCCCTCCATACATCAGCAATTTTATTTCAACACAACACCGCAGACTTCGCTGTATAAGCTTAGAAAACGATATCCAAACGATCACCATGTCGAACGAAGAAGATAAAACGGCGACCAGTCTATCGCATATTTCCATCAACGGGGAAGACGTCGCAGGACATGATGCGCAAGAATCTACCCCTCCACGTAGTAGCAGTGGCTGGGACGGAAAGTTACGTGTAGAGAAAGAAAAGGGCAAAAAGTTAGAGCTTGCAAACCCGGAAGCGATATCTGATCCTGAATATTCAGATGAGGAGAATGTTATGCCGGGGGAAGTGATTAATGCAGATGAAGGTATAACATCCCTTTATTCGTCCTGATCAAAGATGTCTCATTTCGTCTACATACTAATATCCCAAAGATCTCCTTGACGATTATCCCCTCGATACCGAAGAAATCGACCTAGTACACGCCCGCATTTCCTCGATCCCTTCCCTGCGTCTTTCACGCTTCACCCAAGTCCAACGTCTTTGTCTTCGTCAAAACACAATCAGCACAATCGAAGATCTCTCTTGTCTCGCAGCTACCCTCACAGAACTCGATTTATACGACAACCTAATTGCGCATATCCGAGGGCTCGAAGATCTCGTCAACCTGACCTCCCTCGACCTCTCCTTCAACAAATTAAAACACATCAAGAAACTAAACCACCTCAATTCTCTCACCGATCTCTATTTCGTGCAGAACAAAATAACCACCATCGAGAACCTCGAAGGTCTCTCCAAACTACGCAACTTAGAACTAGCCGCAAACCGAATTCGGGAAATTCAAGGTTTAGATACTTTAACAGGATTAGAGGAATTATGGCTGGGCAAGAACAAAATCACCGAGATGAAGAATCTAGACGCCTTGCAAAATCTGAAGATTCTGAGTATACAAAGTAATCGCATTCGAGATATTACGGGCTTGGACAAACTTTCGGGTCTGGAAGAATTATATATTTCGCATAATGCTCTGAGTTCACTCTCGGGTCTGGAATCTTGTTCGCAGTTGCGTGTGTTGGATATTTCGAATAATGAAGTATCTTCTTTGAAGGGGTTGGAAGGGTTGAAGAATTTAGAAGAGGTCTGGGCTAGTTACAACAAAATCGCGGATTTGAACGATGTGGAGGAACATTTGAAGGACAAGGAAAAGCTGAATACGGTTTATTTTGAGGGAAATCCTTTGCAGTTGAAAGGGCCAGCGTTGTATCGAAATAAGGTGCGCTTGACATTACCACAGGTTATGCAGATTGACGCTAGTAAGTTTTCTTTTCTCATGTCATAGGTGTGGACTTATTTGCTAACATTATGATAGCTTTTGTTAGAGTTTCATAGAATACGCATTATACAGGCAGAAGGTTGGCGTGTATAAATGGAAGGTGGTCAGAGGGGTACATGTGCATTATAGCATGGCAAGGAGTGCTTGGTGGGATCAATGGGTTTCATGGATATCACAGCGTGCGTATACGTAGGAGCACATTGCAGAGTGGATATGGAATTTCATGGGTGGAACAATTGATTTTGTTCAACGCTTCAATTATCTAGATACTCGCAAGAAATGAAGCGATCGAGAGCGCAGCAAATTGTGTCATATCAACCTTTATCGTATTTGTCATGCTTATGCGAAAATGTGTAATGTTCCGAGATACTGAGAGGTCGGTTGTTAGTAAGGGGGATGCGAAAAATAAGCTTCGATGGGAAAAGTATAACTTACATCAGTAGGGTTGTTGAATCTCAGGTTTCGGTCCAAGTTAGTAATGGACTCTAAATCTTCCTTCTCCAAATCGAAATCGGTAACGTGTAAGTTTTGTTCCAGACGGGATTGGTTGTTGGATTTGGGGATGACGGCGAGACCGCGTTGGGTTGCCCAGCTGTTGAGGTTAGCATTGTCTGAGGGAGGGTAGAAGAGGGGAGAAAGAGAAGGGAGAGGAATTACCGTAATAAAATTTGAGCAGGAGTCTTCTTGGTCTTCTCAGCAATCTTCAAGATATCTGGATGCTCGAAAAGAGGTGGAGTCTTTTGAGCGTGATCCCATCCCAGCTCGATGAATGATTGTGGACCGAATGATGAGCTAGATATACGAATCAGTACACGATTTCCCATCTTCGAATCCCCCGAAGAAGGAACAAAACTCACTAAGCCGTAACCTTAATCCCCTCACTCTCCGCCAACTTCAACAACGTCTTCTGCACCAAATACGGATGATGTTCAATCTGCAACGTCGCCGGTCGAATCCTCGCATACCTCAACAAATCCATCAACAGCGCTCCTTGGAAATTGCTCACTCCAATACTCTTCGCTAATCCCTCATCTACCAATTTCTCCATCGCTTGCCACGTTTCCTGGATACTCGCTTTGGATTGCTGTACATCGCCTTCCTTGTCGCTGTATTGCCATCCGGGTGGATAACGTACCGAGGGATCTACATAGCGTAATGCTACGGGGAAATGCACAATGTATAGATCGAAATAATCGATACCCCAATCGGCAAGCTGCTTGCGGGTGATGGGGCCCACGCGCTCGCCGTCGTGGAAGGAGTTCCAGAGTTTGGAGACGATGAAGAGGTCTTCGCGTTTTACCAGACCTTCTTTGATGGCGCGTGCCACGCCTTGGCCGGCTTCGACTTCGTTGCCGTAGTCTGGGGGTGGGTGGGTTGGTTAGTTCGGGTTCGAGGGAATAGAAATGGGGGAGAGGGGGAAGGGACATTACCGCATGCGCCGTCAAATAGTCGATAACCGGTTTTGATGGCGTTGTAGACTGTATCGGCGCAAGTGGCGTTGTCGACTTTCCACAAGCCGAAACCGACTTGTGGCATCTCATGGCCGGAATTGAGTTTGAGGGTTGGGGAAGCCATGATTGTTGTTATTTTGGGGGTATGAAGGTTTGAGGGAAATGATGGAAATGGTTTGAATGGGAGAGATGGGGAGGTGAAGGATTTGTTTTGTTTGATATGAAATATGAAAGTGTTGTTTTCTTTCCTGCTGGCCTCTTGAAGAGCGGGGTTAAGTAACTTTTCTTACTTTGTAGACAATTGATGAGAAGGTGGGATGGGATGGGATTGTGGGGTGTGGAGGTGGGGCGAATCCTACAAAGTTTGAGAAGAGAAACTCGTGGAAAGTTTGGATGTTATGATGGAGGGAATTTGATTGATTGATCTCAATATACTTTGTAGTTCTTCTCTTATTCCAATTAATTCAATTCTTCCACTTGATAGATATGCAACAATCCATCCATTCTCCAATATTGCAACTACTCCCACTGTACAAACCACAAACCACAAACCACAGAGCAAAAATCCATTCTATCCATTCTCTTCATATACTGTACCTCTCACAACAACCTCATCACTCATAACCCCTACACCATCACCCTCACCCTCACCTCCATCTATCCATACCTCCATTCCCATGCATCAAAGATTCCAAGTACCGAAAACAATACAGTACCAGTACGAATCCTCATTTCCGAAAGGATAAGGAAACTCCCGCTTGAGGCTGAATGCAAGTAAAATTATACTATTCAGCCTAAATGGTAAGTTGAAGTTTCGGGAAAATTGGTGGTTTGTTCCGGTTGGTGGTTGGTGGTTGGTGGGGGATGGAATGGGATTGATATGTTAGGGGCAAAACGGATTTAGCATGATTGAAATTGGAATAGAGTGCGTGCTTGGGAAAAGAAATGGAGGATCTTGGTCCGGATTTGAATAGGGTATGGTATGGTTGGATGTGTATATGGGGGTGTGGGTGTGGAATGGGGATTTGAGAATTGTATATGCGGAAGGAAAGTACGTACGGATTGGATGGGTGGGATGGATTGGAAATGGACAGAGGGTTTTAGTAGAGGAGCTGGTACTTCTTGGAATGGGAGTAGTGTTCCTATGTTCGAGTTTACTATTTGTTAATTTATTTTGCCTGTTCCTGGGTCGATGTTTTGTATTCTTGCGTTTTTGAATCTATCGGGTGTTACATTTACTTTGTCATTGTTGGGTCAAGTCAAAATTAGGAGTGTCTAGTGCAAAACTCCTCTCTATCATTGCTTTCTTTCAAGTCGAAGAAATAGTAAAAACGCCAGGACAGTGGACAGTTCAATGAGGAAGACAACATTAATCGTAATAGCATAACTCTAGATTTCTGCACTATCTACATACAAGATAGCCATTCCTTCTTATTTCTTGAACAACCTCTACCTGTTGTACTCCTGATACTCAGCCAGCTCCTGAGGAGTAGGATGGACCCTGCTAATAGGCTTTTGATCATCCACCCGATCCAAAATATACCAATATCCCTCCTTTTCTGGAATCTTTTCCTTGCGAACAACCCTGTACAGACCATCATATCTCCATCCCACCAGTGGAGCCCAATTGGAATGGGGATTTGCCGCACGAAGAACTCTAATTAACATTCCGTTTTTCATACTCGCATCCAATAATGTGTTTCCATCTCCGCAGTACTTGATTTCCTTATGTCTTATGTTAGCTATTTCCATATATTGCCATAGAAGGGATAACAAACATCACCATTATCTACATTCTCATAACCCGTTTTCGACCCATTATTAAGCACGATCGATGTCGCTCCACGACCCTCCTGTCCACAAATCCCATGTCGCAAGTGCGCGTGTGCCATATCGCGCATGGCACAAATCATGTATGGCCACCACGTGCCGATCAAATGTCCATTGTGACCTTCATTATATGGAGACCGCTCGTCTTTTACCCAGTCTTCGCGGTATTTTGGTGGTGGTCCCTTCTTTCCCTTTCTAGTCCCGCGGAACATGTAGCCTTCCTGGTATACGAAAGGTACCGTGGCGGTATGCGGACGGTTGTGATGATCGATATATTCGAATTCGACTTTGGGGTTCTTGGTGATTATGTCGGACATGATGGGTAGAGGAGTGTGGAAATTGAGTAGGGTATGAGGTATCAGTGGGTATCCAAATACTGGTGATGATATGGCTAGAGAATCCAATTGAGGTGGAATAAGTCAAGGATACTGGATGAATACTCTACTATGCAGACTTTACACCCACGAAAGTTCGCTGTGCAAGAGGAATTCAAAGCTCTTTCGAATCGATTCACATTCGCAAAATCCTGTAATCAAGGGACTAGAGTGTAAATTTCTAACCCCAATCGCGTAGTAAAGGAGAAAATGCGAGGCAATGCAATGTATTCTAGAAAAATTATGATGTTGTTTCTGCAGAAATCTAGCAGATCAGGTAGATCAGGCCAATTTATATAGATGATGTGGTGCTAGTCATTTCTTCGCTATTTGTTTCTCATAGTTTGCATTGTGACAGCTATGTAAATTTCATATCAAACGTTCACTGAGTGAGTCATCAACATCACGAATAGATAGATCATGAGTCTTTAGAGATTACAGTCAGAGCCTCTCTTGAAATAATTCAAAGTTTGATAGATTCTGGCATTCTGCTTGCCATGAAAAGTTGAAGAGATCCCTTCTTTATAGACTTACACAACCGAGTCGTTATGCTCTACGATTGGTCAGTTTAGCATAATCTTTAATTTGCCTACCTTTCCTTTGGACTTGATGATTTATAAATGCGCTGAGTAGGTGTATGTTTACATACTGGCTTGAGCTTTAGTAAGGTAGATGAAGCAAGCACCTAATTATGAATTTTGCATCTCTAATGAAATTAAGGACATTGAGGTGTCTCAAACCCAAAGAGCCTGAGCATTTAGATTGCATCGACATCTCTTCTAAGACGAGACTCCCTTCATGATGAACTGAACTAATACTATATCCATTGTAATCAACTACACAGTTCTTGATCTAGGCAAGTATAATCAACATATCTCAAGTCGATTCATTCTCATCCCGCTCTACCTGCCTGCAACCACTCTCATCCGATGTAGAGAAGAGTAAACAGGTAATATGATGATGATATGATATATCACACCCAAACTCCCAATTCTACCAAGTAACCCTAGATATACAATCGCAATTATGTTAACAACCCAAGTCCTTGAAACTTCTTAGTCCCCCTCAAACGAATCTCAACTCGATGCATATATAGAACGTCAAAATACACTATCGAACCAAGCCGATACTTCTATGATATGATACTTGTAATCTCTTTACTGACTATATTTCTCAACAAGCATGATCTCAATAACAATCTCCCATACTCTTGTGTTGAAGTTCTATTTATCAGTTCGGTAGGCTATAATAATCAGTCAATTATAATCGGTTCTCTACAACAAGACAATACATAACAAAATCATTATAAAAAGAATAAAAATAATTCACTCTCAATGATTGATACCCATTCAAATCTGATTCAATCACAACCCCCTCACTCAACCCAGCAAAAAAACCGACCCGCATGGGACTCGAACCCACAGCCTTTGCTACCGGAAAGCAATGCGCTACCATTGCGCCAGCGGGCCATTTATGATTATTAAGAAAAGATTGGGTTTTGAATATATGAAGGAAGGTATCTTCTTGTCTCTGTGTTGTGATGTGAAGTAAGAGAAACACTGATTTGAATTTTAAAGGGAACAATCTGAGGTTAGGTACCTCCTGGTTATGGAAGGAGCTTGGGTAGGTAGGTAGGGAATGTACATACGACTTAGATATGAAAGGAAGGTGGGTGAAATTTTGGATTGATAGGTAATTCATAGGTGCTGTATAAGTTCTCGTCGTAGGTTCTAAGTCAAAAACATGCGGAATTGGGGATGCCCAAGTCAGGAATCATCTCTGTAACTTTGGGGGTCGGCTGATGCATGTTCTTGTTAACTTTATCAAGAGAATTGGGATTGTTTTCGACTCTTGGAAAATCTTTTTATTCCACGCATCTGTTCGCTGTGTAATTAGATCACTGATTTCAATGTCTGGGGGTATCTCATCGGAGTGGTTGTGCTAGACGTGATGAGTGCTACAAGCCGCCTTGGAGGCCGTCAGATGAGAATTAATGAAGATGCGAAGAAAGCGGGAACATCGACGCTCACTTGAACTACAGCTAAGCAAACTCGTGCAATCAAATCCACGAACCTTCACGCTGCAATCAGTGCCCGAAAGTGCGTTTAGCAGACCAGGTTTACAAGTCTACACTTATTCAAACACGCCCGACAAAGATGATTTTTCCTTATATCATTCATATTGAAATTCTGTATGCTAGATTATGTACTTTGAACCCAACCCGTCTAACTAATTAAGTTTGTGCCTCGTATTCCATCCTTCATAAGATGAGTATCATACCAATTATGAACCAACGCATACTCCCAAGCTAAACAAACAATAAGGAGCGTCCTGGGTATCCCATTCCCAATTTCCCAACATTAAATTAATTTCGCATATACTCAACTCTTACCAACTAAAAGTCATCATTTCTGGATTTAGCGCCACAGGCAAAAGTAAATGACTAGCACACATGACTCCCAGCGGGAAGATCGCAATGAAATCATCGATGTTGTAACTCCAGGGGAGGAAAGGAGCTTCTGCCATAATGACCATTGCTATGATACCGAAAATACACATTAGGTATGTGTACTTGAAGGTCTTGAGTATCTTGGGGACTTCGAGGAAGAAATTGGAAAATTCAACTTCTTTTGAGGTGGCACCCCATGTCATGTTGATTTCAAACATGTGGCAGAGAAGTGCTTGGGACATGTGAAGGGAGACACCGCCGAAGAATATCATGAACATGAAACACCATTTCAAGTTTTCGAGGACTGGAAAGGAGGATGTTAGTTTGAGTGCCTTGGATGAATGTAGAGAGATAGGTGAAGAAGAGAATGAAGATGGGAGTGGGAAGACTTACTAGCAGGAAGGAAGGATTTTTCACCAGAACGATGACGCTGTACTGCAAGACCGATATTACCAGCTCCAGTAAACACCACCGTAATTGCGAGCCAATTTTGCCATGAATCGACATAAGCACGATCGAGATATCCATTCCAAAGACCAACGAATACGTAGTTTGCAAGACAGATTAACCATGCACTACCCAACGCATAATATGTACCAATGTACGCAATGATTTGAACTTTGGAGCCAATGTCGATACTAGAACAGATGAATTTACGGAAGAGAGGTGTGAATGGAGATTTCCATAACCATGTTCTAATAGGGTTGAACATAAGCTCGTTACATCCATAAGCTATCAAATGGTTAGCAAGGCTCACAGCTTAAGGGATGACTAAACTTACCATATTTTTGCCAGCGAGTCAATTCATCGTAAACAGTGAGAGATACACCTTCTTTGAATCCATCACCAGCCCAGGCAGCCATGCGAATGGTATAGTGCTTAAGTTGTAATCGCAGAGCCATGTCAAAGTCCTCAGAGACACAGGACTCAGACCAAAATCGTTCATGACCTTCTTCATCCTCGAAAGCGATTTCTTGGATAGCAGACCATCGAAGGATTGCATTGTGTCCTACAAAAGCTGCCACGCCACCATTGGCAACACCGTAACGAATAGCAGAGTAGATAAGATTTGTGAAGAAAGTAATACCATTTTCGAAAAAGTTGTGCGATACTTGCATGACAGCAGAAGAAAATTGAATGATGCCAACATCTGGAGATTGTTCCATTTCGCTAGCAGCATCAAGTAAACAATCTTCTGGAACCTGGGTATCGGAGTCAATGAGTAGAATGTAGTCACCAATTCTGATATTGCCTTCAGCCCATGCTTCAGGATTCTCATCAAGAACATCCGACATGCAAGATTCAAAAGCTGCGACTTCATCAACCTGAGTCCAGGTAGCTGATCTTTCGATATCTTGAAGTTTCTCTTCAATGGAGTTGGATAAGGCAAGTCCGTAGTTCATGTTTGAGGCTTTCTTGAATTTTCCTTTACGTTCGTATCCATTTTGACCATTGGGAGGACGGGCAGTCCAACCAATGCCGTGATCAGCGTAAAAGTCAATTCTCTGTTGTCGACTAGCTTCATCAAGAAGTTGAAGACCATCGTCATTGATAAATATATTTGCGGAACCTCCTTGCAATTCGTAGGTAGAAATTGCTTTTTTAATCGAGGAGACAGTTGGAGCAATGACGGCAGCCAAGCCTTCTTTATACACAGGACATTGAATGGTGACATGTGGTAGTGTCGTGGTTAGAAGACGAGGAGGTGCTTTCGCAGAGAAAAACTTGGTGTTCCTATTCAGTTGCTGAATTGGACCGAAGCACTGCATGAGAACTCCGATTACAACGCTCGTGAAGAACTGTCTAGTATTAGCAACCATAAAGATAATATTTAACATTGCGGAGAACATACCAAGGAAAAGAAGCAGTATATGGGGGTGATAATCAGATAGCAAAGAGATATCCAATGCTTCAATACTACGACTTCGATGGCCAGCTGAGCATATCCTAAACCCATAATACAAACCAGGAGGCAGATTGAACAAGAGACCATGAATGAATTGAGGTACATGGTCGGCCTCTCTTCAACGATAGACTGCCCTGACTCTTCGTCAAGCTCGCGGACTTGAGTTCGAGGTTGGGATTCACTCTTTTCGTGTTCAGTTGCATTCCAGATAGTCTGCAGCAGACCGTCTTCGATTGCCTTGGCTCTATCAAATAGCAATGTTGGATCATCTTCCCAAACAACGAGAAGAGCTTCTCTAGCAATGAAAGCAGCATAGTGAGCTCTTCGAGCACGAGGAAGGTCATCAAGTGTTGGTAGAATTTGGATTCGAAGGCCATTGGTAAGAGGGACATCAAGAGCGTCGGGCGATCTTGTCAGAAATGGTTGAACGACGGTGGAGTTGATGGTCATAGCAGCCTATACCCCACATTAGTATCATATTTTCTGGCTAATATTAAGCTTAAAGAGTGAAACTCACAGAAACGTTCATGGTCTTCATCGCTTTACCAAAGGTGGAGCTAGCTAGGGCTGGAGGACGACAAAGATATT